AAGAAGACAATAGGACAGTAAGATTAGCTGTTTTCCTACGTTTTATTGGAGAGTGTAAATGGCCAAAATCAGCACAGTCCAGCCGTGGTCACAGTTGTCTTACCCTCACATCCAGAGAACTTTTAAACCCTCCCTTCAAGGCAGTGTGAATCAGCTCCCACCGACTTTGGACACCACCTCCATCCTACACGAGTACAAAATGATATGGTGTTTTTACAAGCTTCCTGCAGTAGCTAACGTTGTTGTAGTAAAATGGCATGTTTTGATGAAAGGCTGTGAAGAAGATCAAAATCAGCATTACAATCAGTATACCTCGGTCTCCATAGGAAATAGATTCTTCTCAGAGCAGGGCATCTTCACTGACACATCATCCCACGCATCTTTGAACTTGGTGGGGTATGGGACAGGGACCTCTCCCTCTCTGAGGAGATCTGTCTGTAACAGGGAAACAAAAAGGCAGGGAAAGCAAGATATCTTTACAGGTTACTGCTGGTTTTACTTTTAAAAATATGCATGTTGCAATAAATGCCTTATTTTAAAGCTAAATGCAGAGAAATTGAACATTCAAGCTCAGCACTTGTTCATATGTCATACATTTCTTTGCCGACTAACAACTGAAAACCATCTTGTTTTTAATGTAGAGATGGGATTTACTTCAAACAGTAATTATAAATTTAAAATCGTTCTTCCAATTTAATGACGGTAGAGTCTAGTTTGGGTGGCAGTTGTTGATGATGGTAAGAGCAAGTTGTCGCTACACAGCAGCACTGACAGTGTTCCTGTGGGACAAGCAGTGGGGAACAGTCTGATAGGACCTTTACTGACAAGAGGCCCTGAGGGAATCATGGAGGATGGCTTCACTTGGCCCTGCACTGTCTCCTCATTTCTTATCCAGGCTGTCTATATATAAAGAGTCATTTTTACATCCTCTCTTCCCCTTTTCCCCATAATTTTTTCTCTTATTAAGTCAGTGTAGCGACGACCCGGCTGACAGGTTAGGGCGCATACGACGTGTCCCCTGTTTCCTTTCTTGCCAGCTGGACCTTTACTCCATGTCCTTCTCCTGCTTCCTTGCACACATTTTATATCTCCTGTGCTCCTAAATAGATTTTTAACTATTTTTTTAAAGAAGAAAAAAATTACCAAGTGTAGTCCAACCCAAAAATTCCTAATCACATCTGCTTACATATTATTGGTATGACTGCAAACAAGAAGAGCCACAAACGAATAAGTGGCTGTTGACTCACCCTGACTGTGACAGTGTGATTAGGCACTACTTTCAGGTGAGACAGAGGGGGAGCACACTGGGGTATTCTGTTCAGCTCATCTATGGGTGTTCCCAGCCATCGTTTGTCCATATTATGCAATGCAGATGAATCGCTGCACAAAACAAAAGCAGGTCAGTGTACTAGAGTATAACAGCAGGGACATTGCAAAAATAATGGAACAAGCAGAAAGGGTAATTTAGTGATTACAAAAGACAAAAAGTGGTGGAGAGACGTGAAAATGCTCACAAGTACCTTCTGAAATTTGCACCTGACTGGCTTTCAATTAAGTCTTGGCTCATATTAGATGAGCTGCTGCACTCGGCTATCTCAGCATCCTCAGTTCCCACGGCAACAGGGTTGACTCTTTCTTTGGACAAACTTCCGGGATCAGAGTCTTTGACAATCTGCAGAGATCCCATTACCTGAGCCTTTGCAAAGCCAGAGTCCTCTGCACAAGTACTGCCATCAAAATCCTTGTCTGCAGAGTTGTTGATGCTCGTGGTTTTACTGACTGGACTGTCAGGACTCAGCATCTCCACATCACTGGGTGTATTTACAACCTTACTGGGACTGTTACTAAGACAGAGGGTGAGTTTTGGATTTGGTGAGTGTGCAGCAACACAGGTTGTTTTAACAGGCTGGGGGCCTGGCAAACTGGGCCTCTTCGACTTCTGCCCATTAGAACAGTGTGATTGAGCCGTGTTACTTTTGCTGCCTGCAAGAACAGATTCATCCGGTTCGCTTGCAGATCCACAGTCCATTGAATTCTGAGAGGCATCGTGTGTGTTCTCTGTTAGCACACAGTCTTTTGTTAAGTCAGATATTTGCGGTTCACAAAGGACTTCATCTTTTCCATCTGTTAAATCTGTTTGTGGAACAATATCCTTTGTCTCTTCTGGCTCGACTTCAGAAGTTAAACTGCAGCAGGACACAAAGGAAACAAAGTGAGAGGAGGTCATGTTAGCAGGATAAAATGACAAAAATGTTCTTTATGATCCTAATTATGCATATTCCCTTTTCCCAGAATGCATGTGCCACAAATATACAATGAATACAACAATGTAAACACAGCATGCAAATGATCTTCCTTTCTGACATAAAGAAAATGTTAAAATTCTGATTTCTGTTTATGAAAATGAAACGATTAAATTTGGACAATTGTGCCCAAAAAAGTTTTTGAGCTGTTCAATTGGTAACAAATTCTCCACCACTCAGTCAATCCATACCACAGCCAGGTGTTGCTTCATACAATAATAATAAACTTTATTTATAGAGCACTTTCAAAACAAATGTTACAAAGTGTTTTTCGATAAAAATAAATTAAAAATTAAAATACAATAAGCACACAGAATCATTGCTAAAAGTAGAAAGCACACACATAAAGCAGGAATCTAAAAAACATAAAACTTATTTAAGTTTTATGGTTTTTTTTTTTTGTTTTTTTTGTTTTTTTTTTTAAATTTTATTTAAAAAAGGGAAAAGCTCTCAGATAAAAACGTGTTTTAAGAAGTAACTTAAAAGAGAGCACAGAGTCAGCCGACATGATTTCCTCGGGCAGGTCATTCCAGAGCCTCAGCGCCCAGATTGAAAATGCTTTGTCCCCCTTTGTTTTCAGCCAGGCCTCTGGGACAGTTAAAAGACCTTTGCCCGAGGATCGTAAGGAGCGTGGTGGAGAATATGGTGGTGCTTTAAACGGCAGTGATCAGATAGTGTGACACTCCTTTGACGAATAACTAGAAAACACCACTATAAAAAGCCAGCTGTGGTTAAATGATATATTGCCACAGATGACAAGAGAATAACATTAATGGACTATTGGCAGGCTGGATGCTGGCATGTCAGTTAGGGCTGTAGCCAAGCACTTGAATGTCCATGACTCCATCATTTGTCATCTAAGATAAAGTTACTGCCTCATGATGCTCTGGATTTATGTTTCCGACAACGTAATCCTGTTCCCGAAAATGGTCCACCACCTCAGCCCTTCAGGAGGAGTGAAACACGATCCCACAGGCAGCATTAACAACCACAACAACTATACACGTCAGACGAGTGACTCATTATTGACTTGTGATTTCTGGTCTATGACCTCACTTATGATCTGCGCATTATAATGTCTAATATACAGTACATTTGTTTGTCTCGAGACATTTATCCTGTTGTCAAGCTGATGTGTGTTGGAACAATACTTATTCCCCTATTTTGGAGATAGAGTTTAATAAAATAATACAGACTGGGTTTATTTTTCTGTTCAGTACACAAACCATGCAAGGTACAAACACATGTCCAGCCTTGAACGAAAAGCTTGGATCCCTTGACTTGACTGCTTACCTTCTCTGAGAATCCATTACTTCATCCATCTTTCACAGGTCATACAAGTAGATATGAAATTAACTGCTGGGAAGAGAAAAATATTGGCACACTGAAAAGCTGCAACTTATTTCAGAATTTCATATATGCCTACTAAGCAACACCAGTAACATATTTCCCGTTAAGCTTTATTAACGTCTGATCCTGGACGGAAGCTGCACTAAGACGTTTGCTGAAGACACACACTGAAACTTAAACAGGTGTTTGGTCCACTTTTCCGCACAATGCGCTCCGAGCAGGCTTGCAAGACACAGTGGTTTGTAACAGCTTCAAATTTAGCTTCTTACTTCAAGTACACATCATTCGGCACAAACAAAACACGCACTCGGCGGGCTGCACATCAGGGTTTCACAAAGCTACGATGAGTAAGCTAACTAACCAAACCATGTACGATACTTTTGACATTACCTTCACGGGGAGGAAAAAAACAGTTAATCGACAAGTAGTGGCAAAATAGATGTTACGAAGGATTTGGTTAGCTTACCAGCCCAACGAGGACAGATTCTGCAGCGCGAAAAAACACAAGTCATCTTGAGCTAACTTAGCTTTGATTGGCTAAATCAAAATCTAACGTTAGCTTTTCATTCGCTAGCTTCGATTATAGTAACCTCATCCAAGCTGATCAAGCTAGCAGCGCTGTCTCCAATTAAAACAAAGAGATACGTCGCGACTTACAGGCATGTCCGTCTTTGTGTAGGACTTCCGACTGAGGTGCATTACACAATTATTTATTTATATTGTACACATAAACTATTTCTATCCAGACTACATATCACTCGTGAAAATGTTAGCGTTCGGTTATTGGTTTACTTTCGTTGCTGCAGCGGTGCAGCTGCTGCACCTTGACGGCAAAAAAAATCTCGACCAATCACGATGCCGTTCTCGGACAAAGAGGCGGGATCGTGAGTTGGTATCCTAGCAACTGTGTCAAAAAGCAGCCTACTGTCGTGAAATCCAAAAACACAAAAAAGACTCAATTGCCTCCATGTAAAATATTTGTAGTAAAAAAATAAAAAATAAATAAAATAAAGTTCTTGTTTTCACTGATATTAGTTTATGATTTTTGGTTTTATAATTTTCTGTAACTCTGATTGTCACGTTCCTCAGTGGTATTTTAATGTATATGATATTTAATATTAGATGTTCTGTGATGACTAGAATTTTATTGTAAAATGATAAATAAAAATATAAACATAAATCACACAAGTGTATATCGAATTCATCACAACTTTTGATGCATCACTTGTTCATGCAGCGAAAACGGACAGAAGAATTATTTGTTAGTGCTGACATTGCTGATTTTTAAGTTCATCCCTTCTGAGATAGCATAACAAACACAACCATGGAATACACACAAAATCTGGACAATTTTTAAATATCAGAATTTATTAATATCTTCACATTCTTTATTTTTCTTAAAGCTGAATATATGAGAGAATATCTGGATTTGGTATGTGACACATAATACTGAAAGCGCAAAAGTGAAATGTAGACCCGTCTGTCATTCTATGACACGAAAATGCTGAATGTCATTCTGCTATGGCATCAGCAAAGAAAGTTACTGCATATTTCAGAGGGATGGTAGCAGTGAGCAGGGCTTTAGATTCTGATGCAGTAAGGTGCACAGCTTCTCAACTCCTACAATGTTTCTTAGAAAGGCTTCACAATCTTCATTGAGATGTAATTCTGTGGATAGAAGAAAAGATTTATGAGTGACTGAAGTAAAACCACTATATTAAGAAATCACAGTACAGCGGTGTATGACCATTTAAACTGTTTTAAACTAAGTACCATCACATTTTTAATAGATAAAGCCAACTTGTGGTAGCTTCAGACATAGTTAAACACAGAAATTATCAGCAAACTAAGTGATCTTACAGGCAGGGAGTACAACAGGATCCCGAGGAACAAGATAACCAGCAGGAGAATAATCCCTCCAATGAAAAGCCACCTGAATCTGCGCCAGACTATGAACTTCATGGTCTTGCAAGGGTTTGTAAACCAGAAGAATGACGTGTCAGGGCGACTGTTGAATGGAAACAGATGGCAACGTTCACATCATACGAATTTATGTAAAAAAAAAAAATAATTTTTTTTTTACAAGATCATATTCTTACTTTGGTGGATCCAGTTTGGGATTCATGTTGGGCTCATCTCTGCCTTTCCCAGCAGGTCTCTCTTCCATTTCCTTCTCCTCCACTATTTCCAGTGTCATCTCCACTTTGCCCTGTGAAATTTTGAAACACAGAATAAAACAGCATCCAGGGGAAAAACTTTACTAAGAATTGTGTTGAGGACATGAACATACACCAAGCACATGTTTTCCATCCTCCTCAATTGCACATGGCCACCAGCCGCGCACAGATTTTTGGGAAAAGAGTGACTTGGACTGTTGTTTCTTGGGGGTAACAGATCCCATCATCCCTGGCAGCATCTTCAGGCTGCATTTTTCTGGGGTCTTCGCAGGAGGGATCAGCTTGAGTAGGTCAAGCTCAACTGAACCTATGACAGATATTTGAATAGAAAATAAGTCTTTCTGGTACATGGATATAATGCATACATTAGATTATATCTTTTTCTTTCAAGAATTTTCCTTGCCATGGCATTATTGGAGTAAATAACATTAATGTTTCACCTAAGTAGTCGTCCAGGGAGAATTTGTCATTGTCCCAAATCTGGATCGTCAATTTAGGAGGAATCCTAAATTCAGTTTTGTCCAGGTTCCAAAAATGCTCCTGTATAAAGATTTAACATATTTTATTCAGATCATTACTTGTCATTGTGTCACCACAACAAAAATGATGAGGTTATAAACAGCTTTGTTTCTCATCCATGATCTCACTCGCCTTCCTCGAGACAACACACAGCTGCTCTGCAGGCAGGTATTCAAAGCCAAAGATGAACCTCCAGTTGAAATTTCCATCTCCATCCAGGGATCTGTAGTGGACATCAGTCTTCTGCTTGTCCTCCTCCATGCCTGGCATCCATCTAAAAACAGTCACAAATTATGCAAAATGTGATTACAAAAATGTGTCTTTAAACTTAACAAATCCAAGTACAGATTACAAGTGAAGGGTTAATCTAAGAGACAGGTAATGTAATGTACCCTTTGACATAGATGTCACTCATGTTTTCTCCAGTGATACTCTTGTCGTCCAGAGTGACATCAGTTGTGTTCCAAACGACAGCCCGCAAGAAGTACCTGTTTAAAATACACGTTATATTTCATTCTTTAGTGCATTATACTAGAAGTTGATTATTCTGTGCAGCGTTTCTTACTTCTTGGCTTTGCGTGGAGTGATATCATACGGTGGTCCTGGCAAACCAAGGCTCTTCGGGAAAACATCTACCCACATTTGAATTTGCCCCTACATTTATAGAAAAGGACAACATTGTGTTCATACTATAAATCTACAGCTTGTAAATGCACTAAAGATTTGCAAATTAGTGCCATTGCTGTTATTTCAACCTGGGAAAGATTTGGTTGGTGAGAGCTGCACAGGGTTCTGGTCTCCACATGTTCTGGTACCAAGCCCTGGTCTCTTAGGACATGCAGCGCCAGCCTCTCTCTGGCTGGGCCCAAGTGCGGGTGACTCACAGTGTTTGCTTCTGCAAAGGACATAAAGATTAAAGGACATTTTACTACAGACCATGAATGTTAACATCATAGACATACAAACAGGCAACCTGACAGCAAAGTCAAGAGTAGCAAAGCAAACATTAAATCAGGAAACAGTCACTGAGATTGTACATAGAAGTAATAACTTTAGTAAGAGTAGCATAGCTTAATAATAAGATAATAGGATTTGAGAGTAGGGTGTACCAAAATCTTGCAGGTTGTATTGTTTTCCTGAGAAAGACAGGGAGCTTCCATCTCCCTCTATGCGTGGAGGAGCGACGTCCCTCACTTTGGCCACATTCTGGAGGATCTGAGAAGGCTTCAGTTGATCTCTCCACTGATTGATCCCTGACCTGCAAGAAAATGGAACCATAGGAGTCCGTACATCTCATCTGTGCATGATCACGGCATAAAAGTAAGGAAGAGCTACGGAAAGCAAAGATCTTTGGAAAATCAAAAAAGAGATCACTCGACTGTTTCGTAGTGTACGCTTTCTGTACTTTAGATGTTTTTTCTAGTCACATTTCATATTTAGGTGAACATAGATACTTACACACAGTAAGTCTGTGGCAGGCCACAGCAGGACCTGAAACGGGACAGGAGTCTGTTCTCCAAATCGATTACTGTCTCACCCACTTTTTCATCTCTGCTCAGTAAGTCATAGTCATAGACAGAAATTCTCAGATCCTTGTCTTGAGGCAGGAAGCAGGACAGCTCGAACATCCTGAGTATTAATGGAGAAGAGCACATCAAATATTTATTGCTGCTTTATGTTTTTAGGCTTCTAAATAATTTAAACGGATGAAAAATCCCCATGTCACCTTCCAAACTCTGGATTGAGGGTCTTTGGTTTGTAGTTATCTCTGTCATCCAGTGTTTTTCTCCCCAGTGTAATCTTGACGTATGGGTCACACTGAAATGAGAATGTCATCATCTTGTGCTGCCTTACTTGACTCAATGAAATGTGGGTCAAATCCTGTTAGGAGTTTGTTATCATCACTAAATGCATGTGGCTTATTAGCTGTGGATTCATATTAAGCTCACCATGCCATTTCTATCCTTAGGCTGGAGGTCGATACATCGCACCACATATATTCTGACCAGGCACTCCTGTGGTTTGCTCTCGGGAAGCTCTTTGAACTGGCGAGGTGGAGCTGGCACATTTGGGTCATCAGACAGTGGGTAAATCTTGAAAGAGCCCTGCACGCCACAAAAGAGAACAGTGAGTTGAGTTATATAACACATCCTCGCAAAACAATTTATATTTACAGACCAAATTAAAGTAAATTAGAAAATTTTCCCTGTGATACTCTGCAGCTGTCATTCTGTGAAAGGGACAAACTGCCATAAACTGTCCAACAAATGAAAAAGCACTTAATTTTTTTTACACTTGTTTGTTTATTTATGATATGTGAGACATATCATTTAGAACTACAACTTATCATGGTTTCAGCTTCAACTATCACTAATTGTGGTAAACTATTCCTTCACAGTCATACTGTCAATATAATGAGCTTATTTCACTGCAACAACAACGTATTCCTGGAGTGTGTGTCTTTTCTGACACTCAAAAGCTAAATTCTGTAACAATTTGTAGCTGCTTCATTAATTAGATTGAAGTGAAATGTTTAAGTTATCCACCAGAGGGCAGACAAAGGCTATGAAAAGTACAGGAGCCATGCTACGAGAATAGCAACCATCACATGTACAGCTGTAGTTCAGGTACAGTGTCAGTCAGGCATTTTGTTGTTGTTGTTGTTTTTTTAATTTTACCTTGAACTCTCCCACCACTGAAGGATCGTCTTCCTCATCTTTAAGCTTTCCTCGCTGAAGTTTGAAAGTGCTGCAGAAATCAGTCAGTCCCTGGAACTCGTTAACATCTTCTAATTCAGTGTTGTATACCTAAAAGTCACAATACACATGAAAATCACTATACATCAAAGCCGGGGTATAACAAAAAATAACATAGTGCAAAATTATTGTGTGCTTTCAACCAGGCTATGAGATTTTGCATTTTATTGGCAAATTTTGTTCAACTGCTCACAGAAAAATGTAATCAGCTACAAATGCTTATCAAGAAAAAAAGACAAAAACCAGCCAAGTACAAGTAAAACTACAAGTACAAGTACAAGTAAAACTACCCAAAGTTGCTCCCACTGGCAGACAGCACCTTGCATGGCAGCTCTATTGCCATTAGTGTATGAATGTGTGTGTGAATGGGTGAATGAGAAAACACTGTAAGGCGCTGTGAGTGCCGCTAAGGTAGAATAGCGCTATATAAGTGTAGTCCATTTACCATTTATCTCATTGTAGCTTGTAAAACCAACACTAACCCAAGCACAGATTTAATCAGATCTTTTTTTTTTTTCTTAAACAATGTATAAAAAATTTCACCTGTAATGTGTCGTATCCCTTTTTTAGATACGGCCCACATTTTTCCCGCTCTCCAACAGAGGCATAGAACTTGCTCCACCAGTCTACTGCCTCCGCCTCCTCCTCCTAAACAAAGGGCAATAACGATCAGCTATGAACTCTTTGTAAATGGTATCTATCAGTAAAATATCCACAAAATAAGAATAAATAAAAATTCTTATCAATAAGCACATACAGAAATCATGTCACACCACTTACATGAATATTTTTGATTTACCTCAGTTTTCTCGATGGGTCTCTCATCAATGTCGATGACAACATCTTCATGAGTAGCAGTTATCATTGCCACTGCAAATTTAATGAGAAAAAAGATATAAATTCCTCCTGTATGTGTCTGAGTGTATACGTGTATATGTGTAGCAGTATATGCATGTATGTGGATACCTCTAGCAGACATGCTGATTTCACTGTTTTGGGTGGCATATGGGTCACATCTGAACTCCCCCAGACAGTCAATGGTGCACTGTCCCACCACAGGTTTCCTACCAAAGGGTCTGTGGTCGATCACTTTCAGCACAATGGGAGGGGTATACATCTCATCTTTGGGAAGAGGCTGGGTGAGCAGTGAGAAAACAGGCCATGTAAGGAAAATGTTTCAAATGTACATTTGAAATTTTAAAGGTGACTGAAGATTTTCTCTAGAAAGTTTAAGTATTCATACCACTTCGAGTAGCAGCACTGAGCTAGGGAAGTTGGGGTTCTTTTTGAAGTTTTTGATTACAGCAGTTTGAACAATTTTTCCACCGCATTCCACTATCAAACTGGGAGAGGACACCGTGGCCAGCTGGTAAGTCTTCATGTTCCTCAATCCCCACGTCAAGACCTGGGGGCAAATAAAAACATCAACACACTTCCATAAACGGACATAGGCAGATTAGGGAATTAGCATGGTAGATAAAGATAAGCGAAGGGAAGAAGGCTGTTACGGATAAGAAACACAATCACAGCAGAAATCTTGGGTTGGGTCTGGTCATGTCTGATCATGCGGAGAGAATTAGTAGGGGCTGGAAGAGGAGCTGAATGCCTTGATTGCTCACCTCAATCGCAGTGCGCTGCACTACTGGCTTGATTCCCTGAGGAACCATGTAGAGTTCCCCCTGCCGAGGAGGCACCAGAGGCATATCTCCATCACTACCCTATAGGGCAGGCACAGAACAACTTCATTTATAAAGCGTTGTAAACTTCAGTTAGAGTATATTAACTTTCATTCAGTGTCATCTGGACCTTGTTCTTCAGTAGAAGCTCAGCAGCGAGCAATGCCTCTCCAGCACTGCGACCCTTTCTGGTGATTGGGAACCACAGTAGCTTCGGACTGACATCCACACTGGGGTTCAGTTTTACCAAAGGGGGGCATGTGCATCGACCCATTGGCTCATCTATACCCTAGTGAACAAAGCACAGCAGCACATCAAGACTTAGCAAAGCTTTGTGATATTCACTGCCACCTCTAGTTGCTTTACGAGGAAACAGTTTATGATTGCGTGATTGGCAGTTTAAATAGTCAACCCACCACTTGATCTCTGTCATACAGCTCCAAGACCACATCAGGAGGGTTGTGGGCAATGGTCTGTGGGTCTCCATAGATTTTAATGTCCTCAAAGATAAGAGTCTGATCCCATGTGGGGTTCAGTGTGTTCTGTATGACTTCCGTGGTCTGGCTCACATGTAGGAAAGACACATGGGCGTAGGGATCTGGAGAACACCAGGTATTAATATTCCCACATTGACTCAGGAAAAATTCATCAGGCGTTGATTTCATTTATTTGTTGTCTTGTGATGTGCCTTTGTTTTTACCTGAGAAGCTGTTGTTGTCCATGGCACAGAGATTTCTTGCCTGGTAAACATACACTCTCAGCTGGTAAATGTGAGACCCTGGAGGGAGATCATTTTCATCAACATGCCAAACTGTATCACTACTAAGACAGAACAACCTAATAGAACACCTAATAAAGCATAAGCACATATTTATTCAGATTTTACAGACTTCATAAAATCTGTGTTATTTTGCATTAGGAGCAGGCAGGAAGTAGTCTGGAAAAAAAACTGAGCCTTTAATCACCATCAGTGTTTAGGAATTAAGTTTATCAGACCCCTTTACTTACGGCTAAAGTGGCAGGAAACAGTGGGTGTGTTGGCACCAAATCGCTTGGCTGCATCCGTTTTACTGGCCTTTTCATCAACGTCGACCCCCTGTTAACAAAACACAGGCAGAGGTGCTTACAAAAAACAGACTTTGCAGCACATGTTTGGGCTAATTTGAAAAAAATTGACGCAAAGAATGCAGAACTAAAATAAACTTCCTGATTTTTTTGCCAATATCTGCCAGGAACAGGAGAATAATGAGAGGATATGACTCAGATTGTATAAATTAACCACTGTTGCCATGACAACGGGCTTATTTGAGGACATTTAGGCATTAAGCAAGACTCACTAATGTCCCTTCCAGTCTGAAGATGGCAGAGGCACCGGTGTCTTCTGATGTGACCATCTTTCTCCTCCAGCGGCGGCGGCGCAACATGTCAGATGAGCGCTGCTTCCTGTGGAACTTCCAGCCAATCAGGGAAGAGTATTCCCAGCCATCGTCTGGTTCTCGTCTCTATAGAAAAAGACAAAGACAGAAGAAACGATTCAGAGACTGTACTCATAACATGAGTCAAGTCTACCTTTTTGTCCTCTTATCTACCTTAACCTCACCTCAACAACAGCCATCTCATCAGACAACTTCTTTCTTGGTCTTACGAGTCTCTTCCTGCGGTGGATGTGGTACATCTTCTCTGCCGCAACCCAAGATTTGGGTTTATCATCAGGGGGAATGGTAACTCCATATTCCCAACCTCGGGTTAAAAGACACATAATTACACTCATACTATTTCAAACATTAAAAATACAACAAAGAAAAGATTTTGGTACATATTTTAGTTGTAATATTCAGGTTACCTTTTTCATCTACAGCTCTGTTGTTGTCAACGCTCCAGTTGTCCTTCCAGGTCCATCCAGGTGGACATTCAAACTCTTCTGTGCTCTGGGCTTTTTCTCCATTCTACATAGCACACACACACACACTCTCTGTCAATATCATTTGTGTTAGATTTGTAGTATTATGTGGTTGAGAAGTTACAAAATTATTTGTTTTTGTTATTGATTATCATGCTACATATTACTAGTGATAAAAATATTTCTTAGTACTGCAAATTTTGGCCATTTGTGGCTTGATCCCTACAGTTATCTAAATAAAACTCTTGAGGATAGTAGCTTTAGGATTTGTTGGTTATTGTTCAAGCCAATTAACCAATGTGATGTCAAAAGCATTAGCAGCAGCCATAATGAAAAGTTCAATCACACCATAAAGACATTTCATCACATCTTTAAAAGGACATATGCTCATTTATGCAACCGCAAAGCAACCCGCCTGTCGCAAGTACATAACAACCAAGACGAAACGGATAACATTGAAAACAAACATAAACAAACAAATCTTGCCCTGTTATCTTCACACACATTTTTTCCATAGTGACCTAAAAATTAAATGTGTTTTGTGTGCGTGTTTAACAGCAGTGCACCATACCACATCTGTGTAGGGCTCTGTAGCAGGTTTCCACTCTCCACCTGGAAAACGGGTTTCATTTTCAAAAACCTCATCTGTAAACTCTGTGTGGCCCACGTCGGCTTCTGTCAACAAACTGTAGAAAACACCATCACAACACACAAGTTGATGAGAGGCCCTGTGACTCAGACAGAAGCTATGTAGGACCGCGATAATCAGATCAGAATAGCTCAGGAAGACGGGCTTCAGCGAGCTGAGATTATTTACATGAACATCAGGGGGAGAATGTAAGCACTTCAGAAGTAGGAGGCAAAAAGGGAGGGAAGGAGACCTCCTTAAACCAGACCACCGGCTGATGCCGAAATTCCTTTTTCATTTCCTGTGATTGTGTTGCTTTTGTTCTGTGGCTGGTACCATCAATCATTTGTGACAACATAAGGGGTAATACCTGACAAGTTTTGCTACCGATCACAGACAATAAATCAGCATAAATAGTCTCTACGTGAGAATCACACAAATGGGATTTTAAATGTAAATTATATTTGTGTGAATCTGGAAGGCCAAATCAGTGTGGGGGTAAGGACTTCAGTTATGGACCTTAAATAATGTTAGCCCATTGAGTTTGTATTAACAGATGCAGGAGAAAGGACAGAGCACGAAAAGAAAATGCATAATATCAAGAGATGTTAAAAAGTAGCGGATAAGAGAAAGGAAGTGGAAGTCTGTGACAGAGAGTGGAGAGAGGGAGCACTATGTAACCTTGTCTTATTAGACAGAGATGTTTAATAATACTGTGTAGCATCACTAGTCTCTATTGTGTTGAGACAGACAGTAATTAGTGACATTTCTCTTTCAGTTTTAAAAGCTGCGTTGGCCATAATGGAAATTCTAAGGCTCAAGAACTCTATTTTGTGAGAAAAACAGTATAGGAAAATCAACATTTGTAATGTGTAAATGAACAAGGGATATTTTTAGTATGGTCACATGTGGAATTCTTAGGCCACTCATCATCCATGACATTCAAGGACAGTACAGTTTGTCAAGTGTTATCCCCTCCTTCATATCCAGCAATAACAGGATGCTTGCACTTGAAACTGTAAAAGCCTGGAATCTCAAAGGACAGCAAATATTTGATAAAGCGAGTTTCTTAAGCTTACCATCTTTCAGGGTCAACAAACCAGTCCTCCTCCCATTTCCAACCAACTGGTGGCAGAAAGTGCTCCTGTTTAAGCTTCACCTTTCCAGTCACATCTGAGAATTTATATCGACCAACCAGGCCAGCGGTTCCCCATTTGCCCATTTGAGCCTGGTTTTCATACTGCAACAATTTATACAAACCACTGTAAATTCACACACCAAAAATGTGGGGGGTGTATTTTTTCTAAAAAGCTAATGCTTTGTGTAAATACTGTACCATTTCAGCATAAACACTGAAATGTCCCTCTGTGAAGCTGTTGAACTTCTTCTCATGAACCAAGAGACCAAGCCACATGTTGACCCGCAGCTGAACAGGGATCTTCAAACCTTTGTTTTTGTCCATGGGGTACTAAAGCAAAAATATGGGAGTGAGAAGTCTTTGTGAAATGTACAATGCTGAGTAGTAATCTTTGCTATGTTTTCTTTAAAAAAAAACAAACATCCATCACATTAGAGTAAATGTGTTATTGTGTGCTGACTGGTCTTGTACCTGCATGAAGATGGTCTGGGTCTTTCCACAGTGCTTGCCACAGGCCTGTTCGCTAAAATCAGAGTATAGGATCTGGTTTGCTGGGACTCGGGCATAAGCCACTCGCTTCTCTCCTCTCAACATCCATATTATGACATCTGGCATGCTGTTCTGAGGCTGATGGAGACATATAATTTCAGTTACAATGAAGATTCAACTGTATCTCTATGAGCTACTTGACCATTCAACCTTTTTTCTTGTTTTTTTTTCCTGACCTCCTCAGCCAGCTGCTTGATTCTTTCCAACCAGTCTTCAATGTCACCAACAGTAGCCTTGACATCTCTGGCCTCTTGTCTCATGCGATTAGCCATCTGTATGATACTGCCCACAGCGGCTTGACGCATCTTTCGAATTTGCAGATCCAGCTCTGTAATGTTGGGCTGACCCTCCAGTGATGGAAGCTGGAGACTGTCATAACGGAGAGCAGAGGAAAAAAAAAAATCAACCAGAAAAGTGTATCTGACCTTAATGCAAAAAAGAAAAAAGAAAAGAATAATCTGTAGCTATCTAATGAAAAGCTGCATTATAGCATTACTTCAAGTAACCTGCAGGTGTAGTGTAGGATCTGTCTGATCCTGTCTTACCTGTTAAGGTCCTCAATCAAGTGGTTGATGAGCTTGAGCCAAATCTCTGCCAGACGTGTCTCAGGGAGCTTGGCAAGGATGGCTGTTTTTAAAGAAATAAGGTGGGACTCCTAAAATAAATCACATAGACAGGCGAAAAGAGATTAATGAGCAGCATTACCTGTGTAGACATGCACAAGATTCATTTACACATTGTGCTAATGTGCCACTGTGACCTGCTCTCACCAGTCTATCAGCAATGAAGAGGAGAACATTGACAGAGTCCAGACGGTGGCTGATGTCTTCCCAGGAGGAAGTGACAATCACTACAGGCTTAGTGTCAGCCCAGGGAAGGTAATAGTAGTGATTACCTACACAATAAATACACACAATTATTTAAAGACATGTTCTGGCTATAGTCATTCTCTTCAGCTTCATGACTCCGTACTCCTAACACAGACTTTCAGTATGTTTAACAGTTTAAACAAGTAAATGTCCACTGTTAGAATGTATATAATTGAAATTCCATCATGCCCCTGAAAAAACTTGATATTCTTAGAATCAGCAATTGGATAGTTGTTTTTTTGTGTCATTAAAAATATTCGAACCTAAAAACAGGGTCATGGTGCAGAAACTAGTTTTAAAAACTCTAGATAATTTCATGGAATAAAGCTTAGTCATGTATGAATGGTCACAGGCTTTATTTATATTCGCTTCATACCATCAAACACAGCAAAGCTGTACTGGGTGGTGGACGCCAGGGGCTTGCAGGTGGAATCCAGCTTGTTTCCATAATTACCAATACTAACTTCAAACTGGATTGACTCTCCCGGCTCTTGGAGCATGCATGCACTGTGGAAAGCAGCGCACAGAGAATACGTCCTCCTCCGCTGGTATTTCTGCATCCAGTTAACAGCAGTGTGACAGTGTTAGAAGTCATAGCAGGAATATTGTTTTACTTTTTTTTTGTCTCTGTTCATGACCACATCCACGCATATTTTGCTATAAATGCACTTAAAGTGATTAGTGTGTACCTGTGCAACCAGGATGTCGTCACTAGAGATTTCATCAACATTCTTATCAACCCTTCCATCCAACTGAGTGGACAGTTCTACAAGGACCCTTCCTCTGTATGCCACCCCTTCTCCCTGGATCAAAATAAAACGCAAAAACCTCATGTACGCACAGTCATGAAAGTGAAATATCACGTGTGTACTCCGTATTAAACCTTCAGCGCTGACCTGATGGGTAGTCTTACCTTCCCTAAGTTGAGTTCCTCGTAGGGGTTGGACAGGCCACTGAATTCTCTTGGGCTACCGTACAGATTGACATAGCAAGGCCCAAAAGCTGGGAGAAAACCAACTTCTGATGCTGCTGTGCTCACTGTAACACACGGACACTCAATATAAAAACTCAGCAGCGACTTAACACTCGTAATTAATCTTGCCTTGAGGTGAACAGCAATCAACGTGTACGCCTTTTTAGAAATTTCATCTTAAATCTAACATGAGGATGTAAAATGTTAAAACTTGAGAAGTGTTTTTGTGCTGTGAAGTTATATTTTTTAAACAAAAATACAACGAATTGCGCAGATGAGCATGTTGTACATACATTCAGAGACTGGGTTGCCATTTTCAGCCCGTTCATCTGTGTGTAATAAAAACAGAAATCAATCACATACATGTCATTTTGCAATAGAAACATTTCAACCACTGAGTGAAGATCAGTCGCTGCAAAACGATAAATTACATTACCCTCAATCTCTCCACCCGAGGAAGAAATTTTGTTCAGATTCAGAAACGTCGTTCCGATGGCATCATTCTTGCTAAAACGATCCCTGAAAAAGGAAAACTGGGATGTCAAGTATTGCTAGGGATATTATCCTTTGTGCTGCTGTCTGTGAATGAGTACCAGCTCTTACCAGTCATACATACTCAGCTTGATGTCTTCACACATGGATGGAAACTGAATAGGCAGAGATCATTTGTGCTGAGTGTAAAGTTTTATGATTGAAATCAAGCACAAAATAAGACAATAATTTTGAATATGGATCTTTCTTACTTTGACTTGCAGGTTGATGAGCTGATTCCACTCTGGGTTAGCATTTTTCTCAATTTTTTTGGTGCACACCTATGACAAAAAAGAAATGTCTGCATATTAACTATATTCATAGAGCAAGAAACACTCTATAATAACAAAAAATGTTTTTTATTTTATCTAATATGACACACCTTCTTCCCAGCAAAGCTGACTTCCAAATATGGATCCACCAAGTTTTTCCTATCTGCATCTCCTCTAAAGACTTGCTTTACTGTCTGAACAAAGGCATCATCCACTGAAACACAAAGATATTTTTACATAGAAGTTTCTTGAAGGGATCTGGGTGTAACAGACCACAAGGATTTCTAAACGTTTTACATCACTTACTCTGTGGCATGTCCTCGGCATGATAGACTTTAAGGGTTAGGGTGGCCAATCGCATTGTGACACCCGCTGGAGCCAAAAGATTACTCTCTATGTCATCCTGCTCATTGCTTAAATCTCTCTTCTCAGTCTGTACACAGGAGAGGAGAGGAGAGGAGAGGAGAGGAGAGGAGAGGAGAGGAGAGGAGAAGAGAGGGGACGAGACAAGACAAGACGAAAAGAGAGGTCAACTTCACGAATGCTAAGAGAGAGGGGTTTGATGGTTAATAATAAGGTACTCATACCGGTGGCTCATCTCCAGTGCCAACAACTATTATGCTGACTTTCAGGTAACCTTTGGGCCCCAAGCTGACATCATCAGGATCACTCAGGAGGAGCCATTTCCTCATTATGGCATGACCTAGACATGTTATAATATTTAACACCTTCATCATCTTAAAACGGTGTATACACAGAGATCTTCAATCTTCACACATTTTACATGTAAAAACTGACCACGTTGATCGTAGATGTAGTCAACATCCAGCTAAGTGTGTAAGGAAAAATGTAAATATGTTAAAAAGTTGGGTTACAAAAGCCGCACTTCCAAGTGAAGGATTCCAAAGCATTCGAATGAGCATACCTTAAACTCTCCAATTAGATTGTCAGCTTTGACTGAGAAAGAGTCATAAACCTGTAAGGAAACACAGTGGGTGAAGATATTACTTGATTTTCACAACAAATGATGGACTGTACTTTAATTTTTGCAACAACAACGAACAAAAAAAAAATACATAACTGTATTACGCACCCGAATGCTAATGCTCTCATCAAACAGTTCAGAGGGAAGCATGTTAACGTTGTGGAAAAACATCTGAGGGACAGAAAACAAAGTTGTAATAACGTGTGTTCTCTGTGGTCATTGCATGTACAATACATATTAATGTCAGACACACTTTGGTATCAGTGATTGTGGCAAGTTGTAGAACTTACAATTTTTTTAAGCTGATGCTTTGGCAAAAGCTGAGACAAGGGAAAATGCATATGAGAGGAATTAGCAACAAGAGAAAGCTGAGAGTATAGTGCTCAATCTCCAAAGAAGCTGTCATGTGACCACTGCTGATAAAGAGAGAAATACCTCAGGATGTTCCTGAAGCTCTGTGAGATTAGCAAAGAAAAAAAGACAAGCAGATGTTAACCAAAAACAGACAAGCAAGGCGAAAGGCAAAAGTGAGTACAGAAATTCTAAAAAGTCATTTGTACAGCAATTGTGGTGATGGCCTCATTACCTCATCAAAGAATGGGTTATTTCCTCTTCTAATTCTAGTCCTGTAGGTCTGTTCACACACATTCACTTTAACCACTGGCTTGATGTTGTTGCCAGGCAGCTGTCGAGCCTCGATAACCCGAATACGAATCTGTACATTGCAAGCAAAACCAAGGCAGCTGAACAAACAGTGAGACCAATTTACCTGCATCGTCTTTGAAAAGGCGCAAATTTGCTCATTCGGGCTGAAAAAATACCAACTTGATCAGTGCTTAAGCAAACTTGTGGGAGCTCAGAACAAAGCTATATTATATTACCAAAGAAAATCACACGTGTGAAACTAAAAGCACGTTGGCATGAATGCAGTTTTCTGTCATGAAAGATCATGTTATGATTCACTATCTATTTCTAGAGATGGCCTTGAGGTTACAAGTGGTGGAGCCTTTTGTGTGATTAACAATAAGAGTTCCCTTCTAAATTGGTATTTATGATTATTCAGTAATTTAAGTGAGTGCACTCTAAAGTCAGACAATACCTGGAAGTCCTGACGCTTATTGGCCAGGGCTCTGTGCCTCCTACGACTCAGACGAACTGGCTTAAGACCGTGTTTCTTCGGCTGGTTTGGTGAACTGGGAGTCCCTGGGCTTCCACCCTGACTGCCGCACTCTGTGCCTGCTGCTCCCTCATCATCCTCCTCACTGCCTGCTATGGTGCAAAACCACAAAAGTCATGACTTGAAATTAACATTTCAAATAGGCTTTGAACTGTTTCCCCACAGTTGTTTACTTGTGTCCACTGTGAGCAGACAGCTAACACCCTGTCACTAGAGGGAAACCTACACTTTCCTAACAACATCGAAGACACTTTTTTTTCCGACAAAAAATGTGGCTGAACAAACAGAACAGAGTGCTTTAATGAGTTATTATAAAGTGCTCCATTTTTGGGAGACATTTTACCTTTTTTTTGATAGGAACAGTGGAGATACAGTACTGAGGAGAAAGCGAGCAGGGGAATGACATGCAGTAAAAATCAGAAAAAAAATGTCTAACCACGCACTTCATGCGGTGTGCACTCTAACCATTTCCGCTATCAGGTCGCCCCCATTAAGTTCTCCATTTTAAAAAGTTATGTCGGTTAGGTTTGTGGACACCTATTACATTTTATTTTTAAAAATTGGGTCTGTTATAAAAATTGTATTAAACTACTACTTATTCACTAATTAACATGTATCCCTATGCTTTGTTCACATTATTTGAACTTAAATACCATATTTTAAGACAAATAAACTCTTTGCTTCTGCTGCCATCAAAAAAAAGGCAAAATGCGCCCCAAAAAAAGAAGGAAAAAATTAAACTTTTAATAACAGCTGATTAAACTACTTTGATACGGAGAAAGGATTACTGCTAGTAAGAGCAATGCACTTTCTGGGCAGCTACTGTTGCTATTCAGGAAGTTAGCTTAGCACAGTTTCCCACACACACTGTCTAACTTGCAAAAATATATTTGGTTCTGGTGAAGCAAAATCAGTCAGTTTGAAACTTTGGAATACCATGTTAAAAATAATCATGTACTGATGTACTCAAGGGGTAAAAATGAAAGTAAAATAATGGCATGGTGGGTTTTGTTTTTTGGATCAGGTGATAAAAAAAAAAAAGAAAATTGAGACATAACCCTTCCTTTTTAGCATGCCGGAAAAGGCAATTCATCCAAATATTTCAAAGGCTAACTTCTTACCAGTATCCACGTTCGACATGTCTCCCTCCGATTGTTCATTCAGGTTTGGAGTGGTGTTGGCATGTGGCTCATATCGAATGAGCAAATTAATGGTTGCCTGCAAAAGAATACATTCTCAATTAGCAACCATCACAAGATGTTTAATATTACATTGTAGGTTTCAACAGAGTCAACAAGTTGCTTAAGACTAATACAGATCTGAGTCATTCAAAGCGGAATCAGACAATATTTACTTTCATTAAAATTAATTGAAAATGTAACATATATAAGTATGTGGAATCTATATAGGATCACACATCAGCTAAACGTATTCACCCCAACAGGCTGTTGTTTCTCATTGATCAAGGGCACATTTTTGGATGGGAGGCACTTCACGTGACCACTGGCCAACTCTCTTAATGGGATTGTTGCAGAGCCAATGAACCTGAAAAGCAAGCACATAAATAGAAATTTGGTCACAATCACTTGAGTCATACCTCAATAACAGAAACAGTCACACATGTTTGAAAAGCTAAAACTGTAAGAGTGCTTTGGTTCTGCAATCTGGGACGAAAAGTCACCTCATAAGGCCCCTGGACACAGTGTCTGTTTTTGTAATTGCTCGTTGCTCTGCATAGTTGATACTTTCCACTTCCTAATTTCACTTCTTTATATGACAAACCAAGCGACAACACCTACACTATTACTGTCGAGCAAACAGAAGTCCTGTGCCAGTGATTAATAACCACAACGGTTTGCAACACACTGGGAATTTTCTAAAGTCATACCAAACCATCACAATTTGAACTCCATGATTATTTTCAGCTACAAATGTGATGCTGTGACGGCCTTCTTGACCCTAATGACAAAATCACCTTTTCTTGACTATTTCTGGATTAAAAAGTTATTTGGGAGAAGCTGTAGCATTTTCCAGGACAACAAGTAGTGTATTTTGCTCTGTGACAACCACCAGTGATTACACAGGCAAGAAAGACTGTATCAGGAAAAATTGGAGAAAAGGAAACCATTAACTTGGACCACAGGCATGTACTGCAAACTCTTCGCCCAGTTTAAGGGTTGACAAATATGGAGGCGGGAGAATAGGCAGTCTGAAGTGACCAACATGAAAACGAGCACAATCATACTCAGGGTTACGCTCAGAGTTTCTGTTTCTGCTCTATTGTTCTCAACAGATGTTCCATTATTCATGATTGCAAAGTGCTTACAAAACTTGGGCTGTCCTTGGAAAACAGTCTCATCTGTGGATAAAATGTGGTACTGGAGATTTACTGTTTCTAATAAGTCTATATAACTCTCCTCCCACTAGAACACAACGATGTAAACTCTAGTCTCAAGCATTTGCTCCATTGAAGAGGAAATATTTGACTTTAAAACTGCAGTGAAAGCAAAGTGTGGTGACTTTCTTGGCATACTGATATAATGTCACCTACTAATGCTTAGCTTTTAAACAAAGCTACTGGGATACAAAAACAAGTCACCAGCGCCAGCTGAGCTGCTAGATGTTGCTTATCTTGTTTGGGCCACAGAGCAGATACCCATCTTAGGCTGTATGACTCACATTCCTGTTCTTGATTTTTCCTGGATTTTAGAGGCGGGTGAATAGAACAGAATGCCTTTATTGTCACTATACACACGTACAATGAGATTAAGAGCAGCTCCTTCAGTGCAAAATAGAATAAAGTACAAAATAAAGAGCAAAAAAACTGCATTTGCTAAAATATTTCCAGTTATTTTCTGTATAAACTAATTTCTGGGTTGCTACAAGTCATCACAGATGCACCAATGACAAGCTATCTTATTTACCCCTCTCAAGTGGTACAAGCAGAGCTCATGGAAAAAAAATTTAAGTGCATGAGTTGCTGAAGCAGACATCCCTCTACCCTCGCCCACATTTATATTGTACACAATCAGTCACTGGAGTGACTCAGTGGAAATGTTATTGCTTTGTGTAGTTTCTTGCCTGCACTTCAGAAAAAATGCAATGACTTAGACTCACGATGTTATGCATGTATGTGCCTGACAAAAAAATAAAAAAGAAGAGTCATTAATGAAACATATGGCACTCTAAGTATCAGGTAGGGGAGCTGAGTTTATTTTCCTTTTAAGGCAACATTCCTTGGCAGAGCTGCAGCAGTATTGTGAGGGAGACAAAGCACCTTCTTCGCTAACACAGCAAGTCTTAACATGGTCGCAGGGAGTCCTGTGCAGCTCAGTAAACTCACAACTCCTCAAGAAAAAAAAATCATAATCACTGTTTTCAATCACACTGAACAAAAAGGAGCAGTGCGATCTGTCATCACAGTGAAACAAGCACTTTCACAGATTATAATCACCTCACAAGATAAATCTTTTGGGTGGGATGAGGTTTTCCCTTTCAGTCTCTACCTGGCATAACATGGGTGTTGTTGTTGTTTTTAGGAGAGGGATTTCTGGGAAGCGGTTGACTCAGAGGCCCTTCACCACAAAGGCAGAAGTGAGTTTAAATGATCGGTAGCTTGTCATTCAAGGACACATGGTGAGGGTCATGTATTCATTCATTCCACACCTGTCTGGTTTAGGACAACTCAGGCTTCGGCAAAGTAGCACAACTACAATATGCAATATATGCAAATGTGTCTCAGTGTGATCTTTTTCCATGTACATACTTGTCTTTTCCGATTGTTTCATAGTCTTTTACGACTACGTCGATGAATGAAGAGGCATCCAAAGGAGGTCCTTTCAGATTAAATTTAAGGATCTGTAATTACAAGAAAGGGGTAATTACAATCAACACAAACTAGTTGTGACTCTCCAGTGAGTAATTGTTTCTTACTACGCAAATCAACCAACTGCAACTGCCACATTTTACAATTTAAAGCACAATTTCTTACTTACTTCATCCCAAACTGGATTCAGTTCATTGTCAATTACTTTGGTTTTCCTCTGTTCACCTGGAAGGACAATGAAGGTAAATTACATTTACTGAGGGAAAAAAAACAACAAAAACAAAAAACTAGTTCTAGATCAAACACACACAGTGGACACAAACAGTCACAAATTACCGCATCAATAATTTTCCAATCAATGCAAAGCAAAACTTACTGCACTATGGGAATTTGGCAAAAAAATAGCAATGATAATAAGAGCAAATAAAATAAAGAACAATCCTTGAAACCTTAAATTGCTGATTTATTGACCCGATAAGGATGCATTCTTGTTTTGTTTTTTTTGTTAGGGATGGCAAAAGATTAGCTTTTGGTACCCTCACTTGTTGGCACCAGAAAAAAATGGTTAGTTCAACTAATTCATAGTATTTAACTAATATAAGACACTGGTTAACTGTTGCCACAACACCTGCCACATGCCTGTACAGCCCCAGCAGATCGCAGCCCCCCTCTTACTGCCCTAATGCCCTCCTCTGGTAAACCAGCAAGTGGGGCAAAAGTGGTTAAACCAAAGTGTAAATAGGTTTGTAGGGTGCATTAGAATAAACTGGTTCATAACCAGCCTGCCTGGCCAATGCAAAACAACTGTCAGCGGATATTTGAGACGATGTGATAACTTGTGTTTGGTGAGCTGTTGGCATGAGTTGCAAGATAACATGCAAGCTGATACACCAATGTCACACATTATAGCAGCATTAATTTGGTTATTAAATAATATGATTGTTGGTTTCCTATGGCTCTTAAATAGCTTTGTGCAGTATTTTTCGAGCAATGTTTATCCTTATTTTTTATTTTATTTTTTCACAGTTTTGTAAATAACGTCTAACTTTTAGACCAGCTGAACAGTCTAATTGCATTTTCCATTTAAACGTCTGGGAAATAAGTGACAAGGATCATCCGTACTGCCAACCGTAATGTTAGGTCTCTCTGATGGGTAAACTGCAACAATATACTGTGAATGTGATCATCAAAAACAAAGAAGATGTTAGCGTTAAAGGAAGTGAAACATCGCGTGCATCATCAATCAAGCAAAAAAAAAAGACCTAACGGAGCATACAGCAGTTTCCCAAGTTTAAAAAAAAAAGGCAAAGCAATAAAGATATTTCTCACCTCTGAAGACAACCGTAGTAAATGGATCTGGGTCTCTAAGCCTCTTTTTGGGAATCCCACTGGCGGATTCAACAACGACGCTCAGCATTGTTGTTGAAAAAGTTCCACTTTAATCACAGACACGTCTCATGTTCCGTCCAGAGATGGAGCCGCACAGTGAGAACTGAAAGGCACCGATGTCGCAGAGAGAGGGGTGGACACCAGGGAGCAGCCTCCCAGCCCGAGGTGGTGTCAGGCAAGAAGCAGACACGAGTCATTTAAAGCATAGTTGTTGTACAGATAAAATGCTTGATATTTGTTACCTACTTTTGCGTTCACTCTTATTCATCATGCAGCTATACAAGCTTCTCTCCAGTGCCGATGTAAATAACATCACCTGTAATAAACATGATACTTAAATAAGTTGTTTTCATGTTTCCAAGCACGGTCCCATGCCTTGATATTAAATGAGCGAACACAGATCACAAAGACGTTGCCCAGGAGACCAGACTGTTATTATTCTCTAACTAATGTTTTCGCGCTGAACGCCACCGGCCATGTTGAATGGATTTTATGTTTTAAGCTAACGGATAGTCTCATGAAGGCAGCACAGTAATCTACCACCCTCCTGAGGTAACAAAATATGAAGTTTCAGTTTATCTCGTAAAACAAAGACTTAACAAAATGTTTTTTTTTTTAAAGGTCTGTAAGGTAAACGGTTGTAGCTACGTTACCATCAGCTTTGCGGTGACTCACACTAGCTACCATTTTATTTGAGCTAACATTGGTTAGCTAGCTTAAGTAGCCTTGTTATTGCCTAACAAAAACCGAGAATGACAAGTAAAAAAGTTTTTGGAGAAAATACTTATTGGTTTAGAATATCAGCTGTCCAATGTTCACTTCAAACCCTCCTTTTAAAAGTGAGGCTACATTAGTTAACGGTAGCTTGCTAACCAAAATGCGTTAACACTAGAGGGCCCTGAGTAGAGGGACACACAGTCGTCCTCAAATGTATTCATATCCTTCCATTAAAGAAAAGGCAAAATCCACAATAGTCACTCAAATAACTAGAAACTGAAAAAAGTAATAATAAATAAAAATGTGTTAAAATATAATTTAGTGAAATAAGACGTTGCTTTTGAATTGTGGTGGAAAAGAATAATTTAAAAAAAAATAAATAAAACTGTCCCAGACAAATTAGAGCACTTTACTGATGAGAAGTTGAGCAGTGGCCAGAATACCTGTCAACAGGTGCAGAAGTCTGGTTGAGAGTTACAGAAAACACTTGATTGCAGCGATCGGCTCAAAGGGTTGTTCAACAAAATATTAGTTCACAGGTCCCATCATGCTTGTTTTGAATGTGTGATTTTTTTTCTATATATATTTCTGTTGAACCACAATTCAAAAGCGATGTCATGATGTTTATTAAATTTTTATTTATAATGCTTTTGTCAGTTTCAACTTATTTCAGTGACAGCTGTTTCGGCCATAATACAGGTTTTTTCAAAAAAGTGACCTTTGACCTCTTGCAGAGCTGTTTTTGCACAGATTGACCTCAAAATCTGATCATTCTGAGGAGAGGCCATTCCTAGCTCACTTGTGAAATATAAACTAGTTCGACCTTAGCACTGGAGCAACAGACTGTTCGCAGTCACATGGACAGAGGGACACTCTATAGTTGCCCCAGGTCAGGGGCAACTACAGCAAGTCATTTAACCCTTCTATTATCTTTGGGGTCAATCTAACACCATTCAGTGCTTAACATCTCTAAATAAGTCATTGACATCATTTGTTCAGTTTTATTTAAAGGACTATTGACACATAAACTGGGGTAATAATTTTCATAAAGATATTGTGTGGAGGTTTAAATTGCTGGGGTCAGATTGAACCCAAGGATAAAAGATGTCAGTAAATTTGAAGGTAATAGGAGGTTAAAGGCTAAAATACCAATAACTTGCCATTGTCAAGTCAGTTTCACTTCTGTTTAGTAGCTATTTTAGAGCATTCAGTCACGTGACATGATCTTTTTCAGCAAGTGGAGATGGCTCAGTTGTCATTGAAAATACATTTAATACTTTCACTTTATAGTCTGGCAGAGGCCAAAGCATAGGCTGGGCTGGTTTATACTTCAGGAAAGGTTGTGGCCTAGGCCTGACTTATACCCCCCTAGTCCAGATAATACCACTTTGTTCGTTGCTTTTTTTCTGTGCTTTCCAACATAAGTTTAAAATATGCTTCTGCAACAAAGACCACCAAGAGTAAAAACAAAGATGGCTTTTTTTCCCCCTGTTTCACAGTCAGACCTTTATTTGGCCAACATTCCTGGTTAATTACAACAAGGCAATTGACAACATGTTGCTATATTCTGCAAGGGGGGGCAACTGAATATTTGTTCACAGTTTTTTGTGTTGTGTAATCTGGCCTCGAAGTTTATGAAAAAGCCTACCCTAAATAACACCCTGGGGTATAAATTGGGCTGGGTCTAACACAACCTACAATCATCTCGAAAACTGGATTTACCTGCATTGTGAATCAACACCTTTGTCGTTATGTTTCTTTTTGTAATTGAAAATAAAGTTTGGCTGAATGGCAATACATGTGAACCCATTTAGCATGTTTATGTTTAACACTGTATATTCTGACATATCTCTAAGAATCCTTATTTTTGTGACAGTCTCTTGTAATATTCAGAACAAGGTGACAGAGATGGCAGCCTCTAAATACAAATGCTCCCTTCAGAAAAAGCTCAACTCGGAGCTTGTTATGGTTGTCAGCAGTCTAAAAAAGCAGGACGCCTGTCTGAAGAAGACCCTGGCTGAGCTGTCGCAGCAACATTCACAACATAATAAGCTACTGGAGGTAACCTAGTCATCCACAATGACACACTGACCTGTGTTTTTGTTATTAATGCAGCATGAGTCAGTTAACCAGTGTTAGTCACGCTGTACTGTGAGCTCCAGCTAGCTCAGAGATGTTACCAGAAAGAGCAGTGAATAATGCGTGTTTGATTCAAGGTTGTGTTTTACAGTGGTTATCTAAGCTACTTTTTTCTACTGTGTGTACTTGCAGAGATTCCTCAGTCTTCAAATCGAAAGGCAGGAAAGATGTCAACCGGTAGCTAATGAGGAGAATGCTGCTTTGCCATCAGAGCAGTCATGTAAAAGAGAAAGGAACCCGATGGACGGAGTGAGTATGAGGAGAAAGAGAAGCCTGTCCAATCACCTCAGAGAGATTAGAGATATCAAGAACAAGCTTGTGAGCGCCTCAGTTAGGTGTCAGTGTTTGAGAACAAAGTTGACGGGAAGCGAGTATAGCAGAGCTTGATTTTAATAAAGGTTATTGTAGTGCAGGGAAAGGTTTAAACAAATGATCTTGCATATTCTTTGTATAAATACATAACACAAAAATGCTTCACATCAAATGATAATTTTATCTAATAAGGCCGTCCCTTACATCGATATTATTACAGTGATATCTGCTAAATAATTATTATTGTTTTTCTTAGCCTAATGTGCAGAATGACCACATATATGAGGCCATTATACTACAGACATTTTGACTTATAATAGATAGCGTCACCATACGCTGTAGCAAAGCATCTCATTGTTTTGTTATGTACAGTCACGCTTTTAGCACTGCGGCAGGTCAAAATGTCCTCTGTGAAAAAGGATTGTTGTGTTGCTGTTTTTGTGGTTTGATTTACCAAGCCAATCTCAAGTCTTAACCATCTGAGACCACTAGATGGCAGCAGATGTTTTTGAATCACAGATTTCTCCTACAGCTACATGAAGCCGCAGGATGCCACTGAGAGGAGGAATATTGTTCTCCATTAAAGTACTTCCTTATGCAGAGCATCTCAAAGCCATTAGAGCAATATTGTGGATCTTTTGCAGATTAGCCTGCCTGCAGTTGTCTGTTGTTGTCATAGCAGTTTAGGGTTGCTAAGTCTTTCTTTTTTTAAATGTAAAATTCTGTGTTTTTGTTTTTCCTGATAGGCCTCGGCAGTGGATGAACAGGCTTCCACCAGCGATCAAGCTGTGACAGAGCTCCAAAATCAACTCAGAGATGTAAGCGTTTTGCTGTTGACATATCTGGAAAAGACCTCCTCTGTTTTTCCATTAACACCTAATCCACCTTTCTGTATTTTTAGTCAGCTATTACTTTGCATATGTGGATTAATTTCTACATGAAGTATGTACGTGTGCTTGTGTACAGTTTACATGTCTAGCTGAGTGTTTGTAAGTCGCAGCCATCTTCCTGGCACAGCTCTCGTTCTGTCTCTTTCTGCTATGTGCTTCTCATTCTTTTATTCAATCCCCCGAGGCCTTGGAAAAGAACAAGCAGTGGCTGGAATATGACCAGCAGAGAGAGGCCTGTGTGAGGGCGATTCTGGCCAGAGTGTTATGGCTGGAGAGGCAGCTGAACGAAGCCAATCAGGCCCTCTCACAGCAGCACAATGAGGAGCATTCAGATGGTGAGCCACAGGAACAGTGGGCAGCAGACACTCACTACTGGGGCAACAAGGGGCAAAAGACTGTCACAACAAGGTTTTTAAGATATCAAGATTATCCCATAGTAGCCCACTATGCCAGAGCATGTGGCCATGTACTGCGTTCTCATAATCATATGCTTTAATGCTGGGTGAAGCACACTGTGTTTAACATCTTTGTGTGTTTGACGTTACATCCTCCTCGTATGCAAATTTTCTTTGATTTTTAACGATCTTTTGTCCTCACAGAGAAAGAGAGAGCAAACCAGATGCAGGAGCACTATGAAAAACTCTTGCAGAAAGCCAAAAACGAACAGAAAGTGCTCAGGGAAAGCCTTGACATGGCCAACGACAACCTGATAATCACCCAAAACTGGTACATCTTTTGCTATAAAATGTAGATAGTATAGTCCTGTTTAAAGTTGGAGAAGTTTAGATGGTGTTCAGCTAGATGACAGACAAACTGATGTGTAGGTGTGAGGAAAGGGAAAAGGAGGTGGAGGACCTCAAGCAACAGCTGCAAATCGAAAGAATGAGCAGAGAAAGTCCACAGGAAGATGATCATTACTCTGAGGATGAAGAGCAACAGCTGAAGGACGAGACCAAGGACCTCCAGGGCAGGCTCGATGAGGAAAGGCGAAGGTCGGCAAGCTTTGAGCTACAGGTACATTCCCATTCAACACTTTGATACCATTTTTACTTGGCAAGTAAGAAAAATATAAATCTTATGATTATTATATGAGGAAAGAAAAAAAAAGGGACAAAAAAAATCTTCTTTTCAGGCAAATGTCTTTCAGAGAATTATGTTAAATCGTCACCACGCAGACCAGGAAGACATTGCAGAGCTGAAGCGACAGGTATGGCAGGCACACTTACTGTACATCAGCTCCTTATCCCTCTTACCTCAATAAATCCCTGGAATTAACTAGAAATTTAGCGCTGTTGTTCATCCATCCACTCTTAATGATGGCCCCGATTAATTGCACTTTACGGAGGATCAACAACTCCGTAGCCTGACTCATCTGTTCGAGCAGGCACGCTGCAATCGCTTACCAACGCGCCTTCCTAACCGAATATGCCGCCCATACCTGTACAGTGTTACAGGTTTCATTGCAATGGTCACTTTTTTAATTTTAGATCAAGATTTCGTCACAAGACCTTGAGGATGAGAGGCAGGATTGTTCATATTTAAAGAAGCAAATGATCAGACTTCTGAAGACGCTGCAGAAAACAAAAGGCCATGTGAACGTACAGTCCAAGGTTGGCATGAATAGAGCAAGATTAGTAGATGGCATTTGTGATGAAACTTGAAACTGCATGTAGAGAGACACATCCAGCACACATGGAACAACGTTAGCATTCATTTAGAGTCGTGTTTGTAGTCACCTGGAGAATTAATGTTTTGTACTCACTGCTCTTTGCTGAACTATGTGCACTTTGTCTGTTTGCTGTTTGTTTTTTCACCCCAAACTGCTCCCTGCTAGAAACAATATTGATCCAAGATAGACTTGTGATATTTAAGGGGAACTGTAGAGTGACGTGCTAATTCTATCTGTAATTTTGTCACTATGAGCAATCCCTTTCACGTTACATCAGCACTGCGACTATAAAGAATATTAATAAGTGCTGCTTTAAGTTGTGCTGGTTAAGAATGTTAGATTTACATGGAAAGGTTTTTGTACCAGAGACTTATTAACTGTCACTGATGGACGATGCTGTTTATGTTAGAGAGACCAGCAGGATCACAGCTCATGCGAAGTGATGCAGCCCCCCTCCCAGCCCTCCAGAGACAGCCTGGCATCCTCTCCACTCAGCAGCTCGCTGAATGAAAGCTTCCTGGAGTGTCCCAGCTGCCATGCCGAGTATCCAGCCAGTCACTACCGAGAACTGATAAACCATCTAGAAATCTGTCTAGACTGAGCCAAATGAAGAACCTCTTCAGTTCTGTACCTCCTGTAATTGGGATTGGTTTTTTTTAACCCATGATATGTAACTGCAGGAACAAGTTCTCTAAAATAAACTACAGCGTTGAGTTGTTTAGGTTCTGCCACTTTTTGTGTGTTTGTGTTTTTTGTGTTTGTGTCCTTACACCATAGATTCAACCACAAATGCAGCTGGAGTTGGAACAGCAACCACATCCACAGCTGCAGCTGGCAGAGTCGGGCAGAGCAGCTGCAGCTGTGAGCACAGCTGGTGGCTGGATCGTGTTGCAGCTCGCCTTTTCGAAAGAAGTAATGAGCAATAAATGCACCGTGTAAAAGGTCATATCATCTCTCCGTTCTGTAGCATTTGCAGAGTGTTTCCCTAAACTGCCAGTATATTGTATCTGGACAGGACCATCTGTTATGGGTGAGAAGGAATGTCACCACACAGTTTTTGATGCAGAGTGAAATGTCTCAACAGCTACAGCACGGATTGCACTGAGCTCTGGTTCGGACATTCGTGTTTCCCACAGCGTGAATCCCTCTGATTTTGATGGTCCTTTTAACAGTTTCTCAAGCATTCCTCAATTAGCATCAAAAATGAGGTGATGAATCATTTTTGTTTTTAATTTAAAAAAATACAAAAACAACTGTTGGATGTTGCTGCAGATATTCAAAGTCCCTGGTGGATAAACTACAACTATGACCAGGTCAAATTTTCTATCTGCCATATACTTTTGTAACTTTAAGATTTAATTAGCAAATGTTTGCAAACTAATATCCTGAACATTATTGCACTGGTACTGTGATACTGATGATAGCAGTCGGCTCAAAGCACTGCTGTGTCTAAGTACAGTGCAGCAGGTTTCGTTTATTAATATTTTTTTAAGGGAACTTTTTTTTTTGTTTTGTTATAGCCTACTCAATTCCTAGGTCCTTGCTCCCTTCAAACTCTCACATTGTTCAAGTAAAATGAATAGCTCAAAACTGCTTGTGTAAGTTAATCCGTTTCCTGTGCTATTTACAGACATGGATTAGTATGGCTAGGTCACAATATGGGGACTCGGAGGTTTGCGCAGTGACTGTAGCCTTTGACAGGAACGTGACAGCTAGGGTTTACCTGGGCTTAGAAAAAGATGCTAATATGGTTTAGACGCTGCTTAACTCACTGTACCTTTCAGGAACCTTTTATGCAGAAATGTCTTCATTGAAAGTTAGTATATGAGCTTAGCGTGTCTGAGAAGCAGACTTATAAGTGCCAAGAGGGTTTTTTTTTTTCCCCGGGGAACGAATAAATGGAAAAAACAAAAAAGAAAAAAAAAAAAGGGAAAAAAAACAAATTAAAAAAAAAAAAAAAATCAGACAGTAGGCTACTGGGTAATTGTATTCACAGAGTAAACAAAGGTGTCCAACTAATTAGATCTAAATAATTTGACAGTGTTGCTGTTCAATAGTTGCACTGATTGAAGATGAGACGCTGAACTAGGAAGTTGTTATCTGAAATATTTTGCGACTGATTTGTAGAATTCTTAAATAGGGGGTTTTATACGGCATGCAAACCTTTCTGTGTTTAACTGTTGGAAATGTGCAAAAATGAGCTTTGAAGGGGAGCTTTGCTGAAGAACCCTAACACAGCAGTAGAGACTGAGAATATAATTATGTCTCACTATACAGCGGAAGACACGAGCACAAGAGCATCCTCCAATATTTGACTTCCAGTATCACACAGAGCAAACAGCATCAAACAGGATGGTCACCACCCTCCATCTCTCCTCCTCCCTTTTCTCTAATATCATTTCATGTCTTATCAGCATCTGTTCCCCATTCACTTTTCTGGCAGTCAACAGGAGTGGATAGTTAGCAGCTGTATATGGATACTGACTCTCATGCTAACTCTCTTCACTTAAGAAACTTCACTTATTTTTCTTTCTTCTCTGAACTGGAGAGCTCAGATCATGTTGCCAGGACTGTTTTTGAGACTTTGGCTATCATCACTGTCTTCCTGGTCTCTGTGGCAGCCAATGCAGGAGCTGTTGTCCTGGTAACATGTGAACGCAGACTTCTGGCTAACAAGACCATCCTGACCCTCAACTTGTTTGTGGCTGATCTATTGTTTGTCAGCATGATTCCACTGATTGTGTCGGTGCGTTGGACTGTGTCCTGGACGCTGGGCTATACAGCCTGTGACACAGTGCTGTATGTCATCTGTATGGGCGGCTGTGTCACCGTCACTACGCTGGCCTCCATCAGCGTGGAGAGGGTCCAGGCTATACTTCGGCTGCAGACCGTGCCCACCCTCAACCCCAGGATGGTGACTGCCACTCTCATCTTCATCTGGGCCTTTTCTGCGCTCACCTCCATACCCCTCAGTGTGTTCTTCACTGTGATGGAAGTGGATTTCCCCAATCAGGTATGGATGAACCAATAGATGAAAAGGAAAGCTCTCAACCGTCAGTGCATGTCTTTTTGTATATTTTTTTGTGATTTCTCCACAGAAACGTGTACACATCTGTACTCTCAAGTGGCCTGACGCAACTGGAGAGATCGTATGGGATGTAGCCTTCACCGCCCTTTGCTTCCTTCTCCCAGGGCTCATAATTGTGATCAGTTACAGCAAAATAATACAGGTGGGTTTATTGCAGGCGTTGGCTGGTACTTTTCTTAACAAATACAAATGTTCAAAACCAACTATGCACAAGTCCTGTTCGCAGTAGTCTCAGTAATGTCTCATCCTGGCACTTTATTTCTTAATTAAGATATTAAAATGGGCCGCAAATAGAAACTTGTATTTTTAAAATCAAAATAGCATCCTAAAAAGTAATGTCCTAAAGTATCAGGGCAATGGACAGATCAACATCCCTCTGGTGCTCTAGTTTCTATTTATTAGGGTCCGAGCACTCCGGTGCAAGGACCCTATTGAAACCCTTGTGATTATTATTATTATTATTATTATTATTATTATAGTTCAGCCGAATCAAACGCGTTTTTGAGGGCCTAAACGTACTCGAAAAGTCACCAAAATCGCCACGCACATCAGGACTGGCGGAAATCGGAAACCATCAGAGACGTGGACATGTCACGGCAAAAATGGCTCCACAGCGCCACCTTGAAAATTTCAATGGAGTCCTGTCCGAAGCACGTTTGCCCTAGAACTTCGCAATTTCATAGGCATATAGAGCTGGTCAGCACGAACAAAAAACTCTCTCCGCTCCAAGCTCTAAAATGCAACACGGCTCAACTGCGCCCCCTACAATATTTCAACAGATTTTTGGCCATTTTCAAAATCGAACTCCTCCTAGGGGGTTCGTCGTACACACCTGACATTTGGTGAGCACAAACTACAGGACNATCGCCACGCACATCAGGACTGGCGGAAATCGGAAACCATCAGAGACGTGGACATGTCACGGCAAAAATGGCTCCACAGCGCCACCTTGAAAATTGAGTCCTGTCCGAAGCACGTTTGCCCTAGCGCTATGCAATTTCATAGGCATATAGAGCTGGTCAGCACGAACAAAAATATCTCTAAAATGCAACACGGCTCAACTGCGCCCCCTACAATATTTCAACAGAGTCCCATTGTGGCTACGTTTCACCTCCACCTACGAACTTCACCACACATGTGTAACAACTCGTGCCGCACAAAAAAGTCCATTAGCATGTTTCTGTAAACCCAACAGGAAATTCGCCATGTTGGGAAAAGGGCGACCATGCCGGGCCATTTTTCGTCAAAAATGGCCATTTTTGGCCATTTTCAAAATCGAACTCCTCCTAGGTGGTTCGTCGAACACACCTGACATTTGGCAGGCACAAACTACAGGACGTGGTGACTAAAAGTTGGTGGCCCGTCCAATTTCGATCAATGGCCATTTTGTCCATTTTCAGTGTTTTTTGCATTCAACTGACTCTTGTCGGAAGGTCGTTTCACCTACACTGACAACATTCGCTGGGCAGGTGTAGCAGGTCAGGACGCACAAAAATGTCAACAACTCCAAGCCCTAAACCCAACAGGAAGTACGTTATTATGAAAAACACGGTGACAATTTTGCAGATTCTTACGAGACGTGCTGTGTCTGTGCTCCAATCGGCCTGAAGTTTTACACGCGTGTTCCGAGTCTCAGCCAGAGCGTGTTTCCACCACGGCCAACACGCACGCCGCCGCGGCTCGCCACTAAACAGGAAGTGGCTCGTAACTAGGCCACACTTGCTCCGATCTGCCCCAAACTCCACATGCCGGATCACAGTCCCACCCGGAGCAGGTTTGCGCCACACCCCGCCGTGCGCAAAGGCCGACAAGCGTAGGGCGAGGACCCGTCCATCGCCGCTTGCGGCTTTAATTTGTATTGGATTAATTCATTTTCAGATCTGCTGACCATAATAAGAATATCGCCATCAGACGTAGACTGATGACTGAGATATTTGAATTTCCCTTCTGGGATAAATAAAGTATTTTTCATTTCATTTGCCTCTGAGTCATTCTGGCCTCTCTGATTTTGTGCACAATTCATTCTTCTTCACTACTATCATTCTAAATATTGTTCTTTTAACAAGCATTGTTGCCTTGAAGTGTAAGATTATGTAACAAAAGCTGCATGTATTATTCATTCAGCAGCTAATGCCTGCTCATGCCCAGTGACTTACTGAAATATTGACATTTCTCTTTGCACCTTATGTGAATATTAGTCATTCGTGTGTCACTGTGGAAACACCGATACGAGTGCTTTACTAATTACTGAAAATGTCACCTGTGTGTGTGTGGGTTCAGAGCTGTTCATTATCAGTTGTCAACATTATATTGGACGTCCAGTTCAGCTAACACAGACATAAATGTGATCCAGACAACAGATGATAATTCTGCAGGGCCGCACATTGATTTTAGTCGTGAGAACACACAGGGGTGTTTAAAGCACAATACACACAGAGATAATGGACATCATGACCCAGGTGTAAATCAATCAGGTTAGGAATATGGTTTCATTCTATTTCTGTGCTCCAAATATATGATGTCATTAAGTGCAGAGAGCCAACATTATGTAATCATATTTTATTTCTCCTACAGATTGCTAAAAGTTGTCGGCAAAGGCTTCGACCCAGAGACAGCCAGCCCACAGTTGGAGACCTTCCTGACTACCACGTCTCCCGACAGGATATGAAGCTCTTCCGTACTATGCTGGTCCTGGTGCTCTCTTTCCTAATCATGTGGAGCCCTATTTTCATTATCACCTTCCTCATACTAGCCAGGAACTACCTGGGTCAAATACATGTGTCGTCCACCATGTTCTTCTGGGTGGTAACATTCACACTGGCCAATTCAGCCCTCAATCCCATCCTCTACTCGGTGTGCCAGTTCAAGAACAGCTGGCGTAAGCTCTGCTGCAGCTCTGTTGTAGTGCCACTGAGAAAAGGGCCCTAAAGATTGAAGATTTCTACTCACTGAAAACAAGATAACACCTTGCCCACACTTCTTAGTGACATGTGAAAGGCTGCATACTATATAGATCTTATGTATACAGTAGTGCATGTTTGCTGCAATAATTACCTGATGTGTTACTGTCAAAAGCAGCATTCCAGAATTTTTTGAGTCCTAATTTTAAGATTATAATGCCCCCTGAAATAGCAAGTGTGGAATATTGTCAATTTTATAAAAAAAAAAAAAAGAAAGAAAGAAAGAAAGAAAGAAAGAAAGAAAGAAAAAGAGCCTTTTCTTGATTTTCTGTTATTAGTTTTCAGTCTGCAAAAATCTATTTTGCTTTGAAAAGTCGAGTAATATATGTGACATGTTAGCTGAATTATTGTTTAGTTATTTAGAATGATCTGTTCTTTTAAAAGTGCAATTAACACGTGTCAGGAAAACTACATAAACTGTAAAGTTAAATATGACTGTAGACAACAATCGAGCGCCTTATTTAAAACATCATTCTTTAGTTGTGTCATTTTCAATTCATCTGGGAGAAGAAAGACTTTGCAGGATCTTGTGTGTCGTCGCCAGACCATGCTGACAGAAGATGTTTGCCTGCCAACAACAGTAATCAAACTCCAAGCAGTAGTAAACAATCCCACTTAATCCTGTTAGTGGTTAAGTGTAGCTACCATGTAACAGAAGTACACAGCGGTCCGGGAGAGCCAGACCCATGGTATAAACACACGTATCTTTCTGGAGGAGCGTCTGTGGATGAATTTGGAAATTAGAGCACAGTACTCCTGGCTGACAGGTGTCATGGTGCCATTATACCACCTCTGTGACTACTTGCTAGTTTTCTTATTGTGGCAGCATCGTGTGAAAGCAATGATGCTAAACATGACTTTGTTCAAGTTCTCTGATGTGCTGTAGGCTGTAAATTGATTCTGTCTTCGAATCACTTTCTCGCATACAAAGCTTCTTAGACAACTTAAGGCACTTAAACACAGCTTTTATCAGGTGATCAATGGCTCCTCTGACCTTTGCCTGGAGTTATTGTTATGTTATTATCCTTCTCCTTTGAAAGCCATGCAGCAGAACTTTCCTCCACATCCAATAATTTTGAAAATAAACCAACACTATTCTGATTATGACTTTGCTAAAGCAGTTCACATGGTGCATTTACAAAATGGATGAGCTTGTGATCGATGTGTCATCAGACAGATTCGTGAAAACACAGGATTTCTTACAATCTAACCTTGTTGATCCCTGCCCTCTTCCAGTGCAGGTCATAGTAGGTGCCATAACTCAGCCATCTTTACCTCTGATGGGATTTTCTCCTCTGAAATGACAAGTGGATGGATTTGCAAGTTAAGAAAGCTCAGGAGCTTTATGACTCTTGCGTCACTGTCTTTAGCCCCCCCTGGGATCCCCTTACCCAGTAAGCTACTCACTACCTTCTGTTACCTGGGGAGAAAGTTGGAGCTGCTGCTTTGGTGCTTTGCCCACAGAGGAGTTCAGAAAATGCCTCAGTAGGATCTGCATTGCCACATCTTGGAGTCCATCTTTACTGCTCTCCTCCAACCATCCGTACCCGTCTGAGGGGAGCATCTCCGTACAGCAGCAGGAAGGATCCTTCATCCAGACTCAAACAACATGGGAGACAAAGACACTGTAGAGAAGTTCCTTGACAACAACCCACAGTTTGCTAAGGAGTACTACGAAAAGAAAGTCAAGGCAGATGTGATCACTGCTGCCTTCAACAACCAGGTCCAAATCAAAGACCCGGCCTCTTACAAGGATGTCACCACCATCCAGGAGGCCGAGTTCATATTCGAGCTCGTTAAGGAGATGCAGGGCAACGACCCGATGGAGAAAGGCCTGCATAAAGTTCTCCAGAGGATTGCTCTGCTCATCCAGGCAGACCGCCTCAGCTACTTTGGTTACAGGGCTCGTAACGGAACACCGGAGCTGTCCACAATCCTCTTCGACGTGACGAACAACTCTGCATTTGAGAAAAATCTGGTGAACCCCAATGTAGAGATTGTTTTCCCCACCGACATGGGAATTGTTGGATGGACTGCACACACCAAGAAACCCCAGAATGTTCCTGATGTGAAGAAGGTAAGGAAATAAAAGATTAGCTAAAAGTTGAATTAAGAAATAAATAACTTAGGCAAAAAAAGGGTAGTCAGGTTGTGTTACTGGTATAGCATCTGTCTTGTTAAAGCCCAATGGCACTGTTTGTTATCTGTGCAGATGTAGAGTGTTCCAATTCTGCCTTTTTAATCTCATTATCTCTCAGATAGCTAGAATAACTCTTGAAACTTCAGTTTTGTCTGAAGAACTTTTGCCTTAACTATAAACCAAATAATTACAATCAACATTGATTATCCTTTCTGCTTTAGTGTGACTCACACTTGTAGCTGAAACGGTAGTGTAATACTGCTGTTAATCCATTCTACAGCATGTGTGACCTTTTTTTTTTTGTTTGTTTTTACCTTCTTGAGCTTAACAACTCTCCTGTGTTTTTGATGCCGTTTTCAGAACTCTCACTTCAGTGACTTTGTGGACAAACAGACCAAATACACAACCAAATGCATGCTTACGGCTCCTCTTATGAGTGGAAAGGAACCCATCGGTGTCATCATGGCACTCAACAAACAAGGTGCTGATGAATTCTCTAAGAGCGATCAGGAGGTGAGTGGACACGGTGTTCATTTTTAAGAACAGAATTAATACTGCTGACTCAGACAGAATCAAACACTGAACTAAGAAACGATGCCAATGAAGCTGGAAAGCAAATCCACAGCAAGGGTCACAGCTTCACCTTAGCTTGCTTGGTAAAATGGCCAATTTTAGCCGACCGGCTTCCTGTCTCTGACCTGTATATTTAGAGATTTGAGTTGGTGCTCTGGGTCAACTTTATGACAGCTCAACTTATAATCCAGTTAGACATTCAGACAATTTTTCTTGGCCTCTTTGTGACACTGACGCTTGAGGTCAATCGGATGTGAAAGAAACCGCCAAGAATACGGAAAGTGAACGTGCGAATGTGATTCATAAAGCAATATGATTCTTTGCTCTTTTGTTACAGCTCTTCAATAAATATGTGAACTTTGCTGCTGTGGTTGTTCTCCAAGCGCACACTGCTTACATGTGGGACATAGAGTCCAGGAGAAGCCAGGTACAAAGATACACCAATAAATCCAAAAGCATATTATACAGAGATATTATTTTCCCAACTGCACTAAAACAATAAATGGAGGGATGCAAGAATCAAAGGCTCCTGTGATAATAAGTGTTTCCTTGCTGTAGGTGTTGCTGTGGTCTGCAAGCAAAGTTTTTGAAGAGCTCACGGATATTGAGAGGCAGTTTCACAAAGCCTTGTACACCGTGAGGACTTATATCAAATGTGAGAGATACTCTGTCGGACTTCTGGACATGACCAAAGAGAAGGTGCGTAGAAGGAAGTCCTTGTTTTTGTTTTTGTCTCTTATTACTGCAGCGCTTGTGTGTTTTCATTTGTTATTAATGGAGTGTTAGCCAACATAATTTTTGTCCTTTTATTCACCAGGAATTCTTCGATGAGTGGGCAATCAAACTCGGAGAGCAGGAGGCTTACAAGGGCCCCAAGACACCTGATGGCAGGGTAAGCCAGTGCTGGGTTTTTTATAAAAATTCACATCCACTAATTTGTCAAATTTATTTAAAACACTCTTATTACCATGCAGGAAATCAACTTCTACAAAATTATTGACTACTTGTTGGAGGACAAAGAGGAGATTAAAGTTATCCCGTAAGTGTCACGATTCACTTGAGCACTTGTCTAGATGATACAGATTTATTTACATTTTGTAAGTTGACTTATTCACGTCTCTGTAAACTCCCAGCGGCCCTCCTGCAGACCACTGGGCTCTGGTTAGTGGACTCCCATCATATGTGGCTGAGAATGGATTTGTAAGTTGCGCTTTTGTTCCTTTATGACTTGAGAGCACAGTGGAGAATATCTCCTGCCGAACAACAATTGATCCGCTCATCTCCAAATGCAATTTATTTAATTTCCCAGATCTGCAACATGATGAACGCTCCAGGAGATGAGTACTTTGCATTTCAGGTGAGACGCTTCTTCTCTAACAAATGACCACTTCAAATAAATCCACAAACATTACTGTTAATAACCAAAGTAATCTGCATAATGGATTTGATTTATTTGGCAGAAAGAAGCAGTGGATGAGACCGGATGGATGATTAAGAATGTCCTCTCCCTTCCAATTGTCAACAAAAAGGAAGAAATTGTTGGTGTTGCCACTTTTTTCAACAGAAGAGATGGCAAACCATTCGATGAGAACGATGAACAAATTACAGAAGTACGCAGAACTGTGTCTATCTATAGCTCTTTCGCTGTCTTACCATTTAAATCTCACAAAATTCAACAATTAAAATTCCGTAAATTTACATTAATTTACAGGAATGTACAATTTCAAAAGAACTTATCTTGTTAATTGCATCTTTTATTATGTATTTGTCATTTCCCTATATTAGATAGTCTGTGGAAGAATATATTAATAATTGAAGCTGAATTTAAACGGTCTTGTTTTCTCCACGTCACAGGCTCTGACACAGTTCCTCGGCTGGTCCACTCTAAACAGCGACACATACGACAAGCTGAACAGGACAGAGTGGGGGAAAGAAATTTCCCAGGAAATGCTCATGTACCAGACAAAGGCCACACTAAGTGATGTGCAGACTATTCTGGTGAGCTGCTGCCCCACTTTACTGATGTTAATCCAGCCAGATTGAAAACAAATTAGTCCGTCAAACTTCCTTGAAACTCTCATTTCCCCACAGAACACTCAAGATAAGTTTGGTTCTGCACCAGAGGACTGCGACCAGAAGGAGATGTACAAGCTGCTGGTAGGCAACACTGTGTTTTTCTGCCAGTGATGTGTTGAGTTTTCTTTTTTTACAAGTCTGGACTGTTTGATGTGCCATCCTGACTGAATGGACTGTGTTTCCAACGTGCAGAGAACCACTATCCCTGAAGCCAAGTCGGTGGAGCTGCTTGAATTCCGCTTCAGTGACTTTCCTTTGTCGGAGCATGACCTCATCAAGTGTGGTATTCGCTGCTTCTTTGAAATGGGGGTGGTGGAGAAGTTCAAAGTCCCAGCAGAGGTACTGTATAGTCAGAAAACCTGGCTGGAGTCACCACACTCCCCCCTGCCTGCCTGCCAGCACACTACCTCTGAAACACATGTTGAAGGACTGCATGTTTAAAACAACTGAGTCTTTTTCTTAAACAGCTGTTTTTGTTTTTCCACCTTTGTCTTGCAGATCCTGACAAGGTGGATGTACACTGTTCGAAAGGGATACCGCGACATCACATACCACAACTGGAGACACGGCTTCAACGTTGGACAAACCATGTTCGCTCTGCTGCTAGTGCGTCTCAGTCATCATTGTAATAATTGTATTTTCTTACTTGTAGGAATCTCAGTGAAGTTTAACAAAGGGTTGTCTGCTCCGCCCCTTCAACAGACAGGTAAACTGAAGAAGTATTACTCTGATCTCGACGCCTTCGCCATGGTTGCTGCTGGATTTTGCCACGACATCGACCACAGAGGAACCAACAATCTCTACCAGACAAAGTAAGCTGTTTGTGGATATTTTCAGATGACATCTGTGACAAACTGATGGAGAGAAACTGAATTACACACTAGAAAACTTGTTTTTTTTCATGGTCGTCTCTTGTAGGAGCGCATCCCCACTGGCAAAACTTCACAGCACCTCAGTGATGGAGCGGCATCACTTGGAGTACAGTAAAACACTGATGGAGGATGAGGTGGGTCCTTATGTGCTGTTATGTCATCATGGTTGTCACACTGCGCTGTATCTAGTTACATTTTTTCGGTAACCTGTTCTTCTAATCTCGTTTGCAGAACCTGAACATCTTTCAAAACCTTCAAAAGCGTCAGTTTGAAACAGTGCAGCATCTGTTTGAAGTTTGCATCATTGCCACTGATCTTGCCCTCTATTTCAAGTAAGGAGTGTCAGGTTTACTGAGAGTCTGTTATGTTTGACATTCACCTTTGGTATTTTAATGCATAATATTTCCTAAATGACTTTAAAAAAAAAAAAAGTCTGACAGCTTCCTCGTCTTGCAGGAAGCGAACAATGTTCCAAAAAATAGTAGAATCAATGGAGGGGATTCCAGACGAGAAAGAGAAAATCGGCTACGTCTCCAACAACCCAACCAGGAAGGAAATTATCATGTAAATACATCATTTATCTCGAGGCCACTTTTCTTAATTGTTGTTAATCTGTCTTAACGCTCTGGCCTTCAGTCAAAACATTCTTCAGCACCGTTGTGTTTTCCACAGGGCAATGATGATGACAGCTTGCGATCTGTCAGCCATTACAAAGCCATGGGAGGTTCAGAGCAAGGTGCGTTCCCTTCTTCAAGTTTGAAACATGATCACAAACAAAAAAAAATACTCATTCAAGCATCGTTCTGTTTGGCTTATAGGTCGCGCTGATGGTGGCCGCAGAATTTTGGGAGCAGGGAGATCTCGAGAGGACAGTTCTTGAGCAACAGCCAATTGTAAGAGAGATTTCTCTGGGGGGTTTTTTTGCATTATGTACCTGCACTGTATATTTGATCATGAAGTCACAACAGTAATCATCATCTCCTGCTTCTTCTTCTTCTTCTTTAAGCCAATGATGGACAGAAATCATGCTGATGAGCTCCCCAAGATGCAGTGTGGTTTCATCGACTTTGTTTGCTCCTTTGTGTACAAGGTTACCGAAATATACAACTAAAACATTTATTATTTTTAATAAATGCATGTGTTGCTTTCTTTACAATGAACTTTCTCACGTCTTATTTGTCCGCCTGTTGTTTGCAGGAGTTTTCTCGTTTCCACACAGAGATCAGCCCCATGTTTGAGGGGCTGAATATCAACAGGGGAGAATGGAGAGCCCTCGCAGACGTCCACGAGGCCAAGATGAAGGCCATCGAAGACGAGAAGAAAAGACTGGAAGGTGGAAACGAAGAAGGTGAGCGCTGATGTTGAAAATCCCTCCTGCTCGGTGTGCGTTTGCATCGCTGCCTGTCTCTCACTGTCTTTCTCTTTTGGTCCTTTCACAGGTCAAGATGGCGGGAAGTCAAAGACATGCATCATCTGCTAGAACAACAACGCCACCGAAGCATTTATGGATGTTCGTCTGGATGTGTATTTGTACAGTGTGTGTATGTGTTCACAGATGAGGGAATTCTGATGTGCAAAATCCATAAATTGTTGTTTTTATATGCTGTGCAATTTTGATCATCTATCCTCTGATACAGAAAGCTATCTTACTGGCACTATTGAGTATATACAATTTGTATGCAGTACTATGGAAACAGTAAATATGCATTATTCTTGTATATTTAAAAAAAAACACCTTAATTGTATCTTTATGAAGATGTGTATTTTATTATAAATATTTAAAATGACAAAAATATTTAAAATGAAGAAAAAAAACACCTTAATTGTATCTTTATGAAGATGTGTATTTTATTATAAATATTTAAAATGACAATAATATGAGGATGTTTAGCTACATTCTTTGGCTTTGGACATGATGTGAATGGAAACACTAGCCTGTACATATGATACAGTGTAAGATGCATGGATATATCTAACTATTTTTCAAATATTGTTGAAGTTTATTTTTTGAAACTTTGTTGAAGGAATGTAAGCAACATCACCAGCTGCTTTTTAAAGAAAATTATAAGCAGTGTTTTGAAAATTTCAAGCATATGTCAGTGGCAAATGGGTGAGACATGTAAGAAGATTTGACTGAATTGGATTTGGTTATAAGCCAGGTCGAGGCCCAAGGCTTTCCATTTTAAGTCCCCTGCTTACATAAAGTAAAAATACTGCCGCTCTGCTCATAAGTCAGCAGGTCGAAGGTGCGTAAGTATTTACAGGAAGGTGTCATGTGAAAACACTTTGAAGCACACGCAGTCATTATTTATAGAAAAGAGACCTGGTTTTAAAACAGCCTCTAAATCATGTAATTATGTTGTGACTTAAAGTTGAAATTAAGAGTTTGTTTGCTTTCGACAGAACTTTGAATCTCAATGAATGCAGCCATTGCAATGGAATTTGACTGTATCATGTAAGCGTAGTTTCAAAGGCATTTAAATGTGCAATAGCAACATGTGTAAAGCATAAACAATGTAAATAAAATATATTTTCAAATCATACTTGTTTTGTGCTTTTTTTTAGCTAGTTTGCAAAGCAGAATTCTGGAATTTGATGTAAGGAAAAACATTAATTTGGGGATTTACTTCAGCTGTGGTATCAATGTTATGATGGGACGTTGTTAAGTAGAAAGGCTGTGTTGATCATAGCGGCCTCCCTGACCCACATGGCTTTGTGTAAAGTGTATTTAGGACTGAGATGAGCTAAAGAAGGGTTTAGAACAACAGGACTGACCAAACAGTTCACCTTTTAATGAGCTGCTAACAAGCTTAGAGGAGACCTGTGTTACTGTTTTAGAACTGGTTTCTGCTTTTGGCATTCACATAGTCATTCAGTAAACAATTGCATCCACTATTTTTATGACACGTGTTGCGTTTTTTCACCATTCTGTGCTGCTGAAAGTATACATTCTTAGTTGTGCGGTTTGACCTTTGACCTTTTTAAGCATGTTGTCTGACCTCAGTTGGGAAGGCACTGAGCTAAAGAGCTAAAGTTTGAAAACAAATCTCTGCTTGTTAAGTTGAAGCATTTAAATGGAGGTTTAAATTACACTCTGGCTGCAAAATCTGCTCTGAACAAGAAAGCAAAATGTAGTATTGCCCTGCACTGACTGTGAATTACTCTGTGTCGGGTAATTATTATAATGTTGTGTTACGTACATTTAGGAAGATATTGCCATGCGTCTCTGGAGTAAGTGATGATCCAGGTCGTATGATTGGCACATGCAGGTGACTGGCAGGTCGCATGGAAGCTTCATAGTTCTTGCAATAAGCAGAGAGCATCTCATTTACAAAAGTCTGGCATAACGTCATAGAAGGTAAGCCTGCTTTGTGGACTGACCTCAAGAGTTTGTCCACAGGTCAACCTGCAACACAGGCCTGTTCGCTCAGTTTGTTCAAGGCTTCAGCAGGAGGAAGGCGGCCCTCTTTATTTTTTAGCTAAATTTCAATTTCATTTGTCAGATATGAGTAGTTTTGTTGAATGATGTGATTATTATTTGCAGTGATCTAAAATGCTATCAAGTGTACAGAGAAAACAAGAAAGGAATTCATGAAATTTTTCACAAGCTCTTGTTCTTTAACTGAAAATCTAAGTGAGAGAATTTTAAAGAGCTCTTTCATCAATCCACCTCTGACAGCTATCTACCTTGGCTCCACATTTCCCTCTAGTGGTGAAATCCGCTCATCAGTGAAGACTGCCTGACCGAATGGCTGCAACTTAAAAACCTACCACAACTTTATTGTTTGCACATGAAACACGTTTGTTTTTGATGGCAGTATGTTTGAGGTGTTGAGGCACATCAGTGAAGCCACTCATTTTACTAGATACATGTATTTGTTACAGGAATCTGGTCCCAAAATTCCACTGAAAGGGACAAACACCGGCCTCACTGTGGTCATACAGTTGCTGGAGAGTCTGTCCTCTATTCCAGAGATGAATGGTGACATTTATGAAGCACAGACACTACCCATCATCTCGCAGCACAACAATCATATCCAGTGTTCTCTATTCAGTCCAACAGCGGCTCATGACAAAATACATTTGTTATTTTGTGTGCCTTCCAGCTTCTCCACATTTCCCATGTTTCGTTCCTCTTCGACGAAGAAGAAGCAGTCCAAGAGCTTCATTCTTTCGCCTAAAACTGAACATCAGAACACTGAAAAACCCCAGAGCGTGACCATGCTCTTCTAAATGCCCTGCTTTCATTGTTACAGGCAAAATTACATTATCATGGTAAACAGGCACTGGGTATCAAATGGTGTAATCACATCAGGGACAGAGAGACTAGAGGTCCAGAGCAGCACGTATTTACTTAGAGACCTTTTAAAAAGCCCTGCACATGTGTCTTCCCAGAAGGTTGTGACGCATGCAGGCTCCCAGACAGAGTGAGTAAACATATTAATCTTAAAACTCTGGAGGGATCTGAGAAATTGGATGGTGAATAGGAAGACCTTATAGGGCTCCCAGGGGACCCTGCTGCACATAGTCATGCCAGGAACAGAGGAAAGGCATGATGCAATAAAACTGTGAAACTAATGTTTTGCAGCAGTAAAGCATTAAAAAGGAAGTGCAAGGAATGGCAGTGGTTTGTTTAAACGTGGCTTTAAAATAAACAAGATTATCTGCAGGAAAAAAAGAAGAGCCTGCATTAACCTGCCCATTGTGAGAGAGATGTTCGAGGGGGATGGGGCTCATCTGACTGAAGCAGAGCAGATGTCAGGGTGATAGGAGGGCTTCCCCACACCCCTCCATCACAGGTCAGAAACATTCTGCATCCTGCAGTCGCCATGGAAACCGCGCACAAACCAGGAAATACACCCCCAAATGTGCACATTTCTGTGACTGTTCAGCACAAAGCACTGGAGTTTCATGACATTAACGCGTGCAGGCTGGGTAACGGCAGGATTTTTCGGCAAGATGAGCCAATATTGCAGCTACACTTCCATCATTCCAGTAACATTTCGGCGGGTCTCCCACCCCGCTTCCCGCATAGAAAGCTCGTGTGCGTCTGCGCCATAGCAGGCAATCTGCTGGCTAATGTCAGTTCTTCTTTTTTTTCTCCAGCTGATTCACGAGAAATTACACAATTCCGTTGCCTATTGGGTGGAATCCTCCAGGAGGTTGACACGGAGAGAGTGGCGTTTGCTGAAATCATAGGCGTGGTTTTGGATGGAGATGCTCCGTCTGCTCCCGCTGGGATCCCCACCTGCCCTCACACCGCGTCTGTCACCGAGCCAGCTGGTATTTTCCTGAGCGTCAGCAACCACAACAGGCATTTAATTAGATTTTTATTCTTGTCACAGAGGATATAGATTTTTTTTTTCCTCCTTCGTCTGGGGTGTAGTGTAATTACAGCCGTGTGGACGCGCGCCCGGTTTAATCACCTCCAGAGCGGCGGAGGCGCACGGCACTTGGCGGAGATAAACAAGAGCGGACGGCACGTCGCTTGGCCTCCAGGCAGCAGCGGCGGCAGCAGCAGCAGCGGTGGGAGAGGAACCACAGCGGAGACCCTGGTTCATGTGCAGGGCTGTTCGACGCGCAAGTCGTGCCCGCAGCGGTTCGCGAGGATGGAAAATACACGCAAGATGCCCAGAAGATCGCCCTGGCTTGGCTTACTTGTGGTGGCGTCAGTTTTACTTTTAGTGGACAGCAAGAAAGCCAGGCCTCGCTGTCCCCAGTCATGTACATGTACCAAAGATAACGCTTTGTGCGAGAGCGCAGGACTGATCCCTCGCAGCTTCCCCTCTGATGTCATATCACTGTAAGTTATATTTATTATTATTTTCTCATCATAGAATCCAAACCGGTGTTTTCCATTGCAGTGATGTATGTAAAAAAAAACATATGAAGCTCTATGTGCTGGTTAAAGATCAGGATTTTTCTCTTGCTGCATATCCAAGGAATAAGACTGCAATAACTGTACGCATGAGACAGTCCAGGCTTTGAAGCTGTGTGTGTGTGTGTTACTGTCGTGTTTTCCTCCCACAGATCATTCGTCAAGTCTGAATTCACTGAAATCCCGAAAGAGAGCTTCATCCACACGCCTGCCCTGCACCTCCTGTGAGAAATCTGGTTTTGTTCTCCAGTCTTTGTTGCATGCTGTCAGTCCCCATTGAAGTGATCAACGCCATGTTTAAGACATTTCCCTTCTACTGATGCTGCACATTGTAACAGAAGGGGTGTTGCTGTGGCCATTGATTGGACTGGAGAGCTTAAACACAAAAAGAAAAATGGGATGAAATTACCTTTGTAAATGATTTCCCAACATGCCTTTTTCATATCATGGTAATCTTCTCTGCTGAGCATTCATCCAACCCCTGTCTTAGAATGCAGATCTGTGTATATTGTGAATCAGGTTTGATTTCAGAGTGAGATTTATTTATGGGTATTTCCTCCTTTTGAAGAGGGAATCCCCTCCACTCCTGTCTCAGGGGGTGTAGTGTGTCCTTAAAGAAAACATGTCAAACACAACATCGATCCTCATCTTTGAAGTGTTTGGGCTTCTGTTAAGATCATTCGGTCAGACAGGTCAGTTTTGTGGGCTTGTTATGATCCACTTGGTAACAATAGAATATTAACTTGAGATCCCTCTGCACAGCCTCTTCACAGCCAACAACCTGGAGTCTATAAACGAGGATGCTTTCCTCGGTCTTCCTCATCTAGAGTATCTGTGAGTAGATGACAGAAATGAATCCTGGAAGCTTTTTCTTACATCTACAAGACTGCCTCCTTTTTGAGTCTTATGCATTTTCCCCCAATGCCTTTTTCAGATTCATTGAAAACAACCAAATCAAGTCGATATCACCACATGCTTTCCGTGGACTCAAAACCTTAGTGCATCTGTAAGTACATTATATTTTAAATTCCTTTTGCAGATCTTATTGGTCAGAAATAGTACCAACAATTAAGGGTGTTGTTTTTCTGTGCTTGAAATATTCATGATCTCTTTGTCGAAACAGAATCTAATGAAGCTCTCTGTTATGTGCATCATGAGACACTGTTGTAATCTGTGTGCAGGTGCAGGCAGGCACTGTTCTGATGAAATGCCGAAAAAGTTTATTGCACAACTTGTATTGCCACATAGATATCTCTCCCAACAGTGTGCAGCTGTTAATATGACTGGAAAGCAAATCCTGTCAATGTCAAGCTCCACTGAACGCCTACGATATTTACTGACAGATTTAGCAGCAAATTCTCTTAAATTCTTCACTGATGCCAACAAAACTTTACTTAATTTTAGACAGACAAGGTACAATCAAACACAAGATGCCACATCAACCTTCTCAATAGTGAGGTCTACTCTTTCCCTCGTTTTTTGGTTGCAGGGAAAGCCGTAAAATGGCTGAGGAGGCAGTGCTAAAAATAGCTTAACGTTTCCTCAAACTCACAATAAGCAATGTTCCTGCCTTTACCCTTAAGGGTGGCGACGTGCGCCCAAGCAGCTTACCAGCTAACTCCATATCCTCCTGTACAGAAATACTGCATCACCATAAAACATTTAGATGTCATAAAGAACTACAAGTTTCTCTTCTCACATTTAAACAGAAGAATATGCGTATGGTATGAATTTAATTCTGTGAATAGGGAACTACAGTGGGAAGTGTGCTTTGAATCACTGATGAAACCAGAACAATAAGCAGCATGTTTCCCTTTTCCCTCTTTCTCAGGAGTCTTGCCTACAATAATCTCGAGACTCTGCCCAAAGATTTGTTCAAGGGTCTTGAGGCCTTGACAAAAGTGTAAGTATGAATTTTACTCTTACCAAACAAAGAGATGAGTTGCATTAGTTTACATAACCTGTAATGCATCCAACTGTGATCCATTGTAGGTTTTTTTTCCCGTACGGTCTTCTATATATAGAACACTGTATCATTATTCTACTTCAGCCAAGGATTGACAAATGTGTGGGCAGCTGGCGCTTTTAACACCATTAAAATTACATGCGGCAGGGAGGAAGAGAGATGGTTTGCAATCTATCACCCACTGAAGAAGTTCAGTTCTCCTTTATAGTCCCTCTTAATGATAATGACAGCACAGAGCGAAGCTGTGAGGACCAAAGAGCAAAGTTTGCAGTCACACTTCAGGGACTGTGAGAATTAAATCCATTCAGAAAGCGCGCTTTTAAACAGTAGTTTGGCTGTTTTTCTTCTGTCAGAGACTTGCGGGGGAACCAGTTCACATGTGACTGTAAGCTGAAGTGGCTGGTGGAGTGGATATACAGCACCAATGCTACGGTGGATCAGATTTACTGCAAAGGCCCGGCCTCGCAGCTGGACAAGAAGATCAACGATCTGGTGCCACAGTCCTTCGACTGCATCACAACAGGTGGAGCGCGAAACAGGCGGCTGTTTTCATTTAACTTTACTTTCTCACAGTGATCAAAGCTGCTCTGGATCGTTTTGATGTTAGTTCAAGTGTGCTATTTCTCCTCTCACAGAGTTTGCTTCCTATCAGTCCCTGAAGTTTGAATCCATATCGGTGGAAGCGTTTTCTTTCAGGAATGACCAGTATGTGGTGTTTGCACAGCCATTTATTGGGAAGTGCAGCTTCTTGGAGTGGGATCACGTGGAGATGGTCTTCAGAAACTTTGATGATATTGACAGTGAGTTGAAGTGATTTCAAATATCCTCCGATGTTGTTGTCAGTGAGCTTTTAGAGTTTTCGAGACAGGCTGAGATTAGTTGAGGAACCACTAGATGGAGACAAGAATCTAAGACAAAGTGAAGTTGTATTTTTTTGTTTTTATCCTTATATTCTCTCTACCAGGCACATCCACAGTGATCTGCAAACCTCTGGTCATCGACAACCAGCTCTTTGTTATCGTGGCTCAGCTGTTTGGTGGCTCACACATCTACAAGCGTGACACCTCTGCCAACAAATTCATCAAGCTCCAAGGCATTGACATCCTGAGGATCCGCAAACCAAATGACGTTGAAACATTCCGCATCGATGGAGAGTCTTTCTTTGTCATAGCAGACAGTTCCAAGGCTGGGTCCACCACAATCTACAAGTGGAATGGCAATGGCTTCTATTCTCATCAGTCTCTTCACCCCTGGTACCGGGACACGGATGTGGAGTACATGGAGATCTCCTCCAAACCTCACCTGATCCTGTCCAGCAGCTCCCAGAGGCCGGTCATTTACCAGTGGAACAAGAGCACCAAGCTGTTCGACAGACGCACCGACATCCCAGAGATGGAGGATGTGTACGCCGTAAAGCATTTCCAGGTCAAATCCGACCTCTTCATCTGCCTGACGCGCTTCATTGGGGACTCCAAAGTGATGCGCTGGGACGGGGCCCTCTTTAGAGAGATGCAGACCATGCCATCTCGAGGCTCCATGGTGTTCCAGCCCTTCGCTGTGGGCAGCTGGCAGTATGCCATCCTGGGCAGCGATTACTCTTTCACCCAGGTGTACCGCTGGGATGCCAAGGAGGACCAGTTTGTTCGTTTCCAGGAGCTGAACATCCAGGCGCCGAGGGCCTTCTCTCCAGTTTCCATAGACAACCGTCAGTTCTTGCTAGCCTCCAGTTTCAAAGGGAAAACTCAGATCTATGAGCACCTGGTCATCGATCTGAGCAACTGAGCAGTTATTTCTTTCTTGGCTGATTGGTTGTTTGGTTATTTTAGTGTTTTTCTTTGTCTAAAGAAGGCTGTTGCAGCAGATACAGTGCTGAACAACTGATAAAGTGTTGATCCTAGCTTGAGAAAGGCAGGCATTACTCCTACTCATTTTTAAAATCTTCCATTGAGATCAGTGCACGATAAGCTTAAAGACAAATGCATCCATCTCGACCAAATCTATTTGTCCGAGATGCATGCTGAGTTCAATGTACGCATCTCAAGTTAGGATTAAACCCAACATGTTGTCAAGTCATTAATGCATGACCAGGGCCTGACACAGGCTGTCCCATCCTGATTAATGCAACATCTACGTTCATTAATCCATCAAATCTAACACCGACCAGTAAAGTTTTTCCGTGTTCAGCCTTTCATGTCACAATGTTTATACATTTGTAATCTCATATATTTATCTACAGAAAGTAATAATAGAATTGTACTTTTTAACCTATTAACATGTTTAACTGAAGAAATCTGCCAAAATGAAATGTTTACACTTTTCTGTCTTTCCATTTGTATGCTTAAAGATTTGTAAATGAAGCTTTTGTAAGTCTAAGAGGGACCATGGCTGTTGGATACATTTGTTACAGAGAATGATTTAAAATTATGCTCATAATTTGAAAAATATAAACAAATGTTGTGTGAGAGTCTACCTGTATATCCCTGCAACCTGCATTTTTATTGTTAATGGTTTGTACAATGTTTAAAAAGTATTGAAAATACAGTTTTTCTTAACTGGGAACTATTTTCAAACGCTTTAGGGAACTGAAATGAAAAAAAATGAGGATATTGTTCATCATGCTTTACCTTTTGGCTAACATGTATGCAAAATACATCAACTGTGTCATGATTAGGACTAATATCATGCTATTTAGAGTCAATAAAGGCTATCATTTCATCTGAGCTCCCTGCTGGCGCTGCATAGCATGACATGGCTTCAGTGTGACATCCTGGTCCTCTAAGCAAAACAACACACCCGAACGAGCGCATTTACGTCATTAATTAAAGGAAAATCGTCTCCAAGTTAGCTGTGCGGTTACAACAGACATGAGAAATAAACTAACATAAATACAAACAAATAAAATCCTTTTTATTTTCTCCAACAAAGTGCACGCCTCAAATCTACAAAGCAGCACATTACAATGTAATGGAATAAATACAATAAAATCCGCTGAATTTAAAAAAAAAAAAAAAAAAAAAAAAAACACAAGCAAGGAGATACACAAGTACCTGCACAATCACACTGGTGGCAGGAATAAATTCGGCTCTTTAGAAAGACTCTGCGAGAAAAACTGCACTTTCGTGGTAATCGTTTGACTTTTCATGCATCTGCAGTCCTTTGGATAAAGACATCCCGTCCGTTGCTTTCTAAAGTAAACCAATTTAACCCCTGCTGTTTTTTGTAATTGAGGACTACCAAACTAACATGAAAGGAATACAGGTGCATACTCTCATGTTCATACACGTCACCCTGGAAAACTTGTGCAATTGCAGCAGGACCTCCAAAATCACCAACCTACTGCTGAGAGAAAATAAAGTGAACACGTTTTTTTTTCAGTTTTAACTGAAGTTACTACTCAAGTCTATGTGGTGCAACTTAGTGTTTTTTTTTTCCATAGGCAAAAAAATATAACATAAAAGGCAAGGGAGCACATCCCTCAATATTCCACAAAATAATTTAGTGCTCTTTAAATAAAATTGAAAACACTATTTTCATATGGTGGCTCTTAAAAAAAAAAAAATTAAAAAAAAAAAAAAAAAACCTCACAGACCGAAAGAATAATGCTCTAAGAGACATCAATTATATTAGGAAAGAACTCAAATCCCATGAAAAAAGACAGTATTGACAATTAAATTCTGTACAGAACGTAAAATCAATATACAATACAGTACCTGCAGATGTTATGCATACAGTACAATTCTCTTTTTACATAGTTTTAGTATGGACTCCAGCCTGATCTATATACTGACTTAACACAGGTGGAAAAGCGGCTATTTTAGCTTACAGTAATTTTAATGGTTATTCAGCGAGGAGAGTAGATCTTGTAGTAGGCGTTTTAGAAAAAGAGACTGAAAACATTATTGCAGGATGGTCATCTTCAGTTGCATACTGCATGTTACATGAATGTGTCCTCTGACATGGAGCAGCGGGCTGATGAGAGAGACAGAGGGCCGGACGGAAGAAAGAAAAGAGGGGGTTCGCTGTTTTTGCTATCTCTCCGTCACAGAGGTTAAACCTTGCGATATCTCTCTGATCCACTACCCTGTACAGTACATTCGTGGCCAGTATTGCACGTTACCAGCCGAGTCCACCCTGATTCTGCGTGGTGAGGACCTTCAGTGCTGAATTTTTGTCCTGTAAGTCAACACTAATCCAGTGAAGAGATGAGACTGTAACCAGAGCTCACCAAAAGACTGACTGGGACTCCATCTGCCGTCACAGTTTGAGCTCATTGGCAATTTTGCAGGCGATATTCTTAAAGGCGATGGACGTGCCCGATATCCTCTTGAAGCGCACGCCGTTGAGTGAAAGGCGGGGCAGCTTGCACACCTCCATCTCCCATTGGACCAGATTGTCCTGGCGAGCGTCACCGTGGACACAGAAAAGCAGGAAGCGTTCACGCTGCTCGTAGTCGCAGCTGTTGGCGTCCAGAACTTTCCTGATCTCCCTCATCATCTCGGCGGGCTCCATGGACGAGGTGGTCTTCATGCTCCAGGTGAAACGCAGCGAGCGAGGCTTGGAGTCCCGACCGCCGTCCTCCTTAGTGTCGCCGGATGCGCTCCTGAAATGCAAGAGGGGGGAAAAAAGACAGGCAGAGAGAAAGAGCAGAGACGGGGAAAGACGTTGAAGGAGGCAGAGATTGGTTACTTTGAGAAATCCACATCTCGATCAAATTCTCACCTTGGTGTTTCTGTCCTGGCACTGGCCTCTCCCTCACTAGGCACCCTGAAATAAACCAGGAATAGACTTGTTATTCCCATGAGCCGATGTCAACATGGGTCCCCCACCCGCTACCAACACCACCCCCCATCATCACTAGACACAGAGGGGGGTGTCAGGCATCATGCCAGGAAAGAATCCACACTCCTGGGAATCAGGGTTCAGCACACAATGAGGTGACCTTTGGAGGTTACATACTGTTACAGCTCACGTTAACCAAATGCATCATCTGATCGACCGCACGCCACCTTTCCTTAATCCCCACCGATCGGTAAAGAGTGGAAAAGTGTCTCTAAAGCTTTGATTCGGCCTCCGTAATTTGCCTGGTCTTTTCTCTTAAGCTTAGCACAAAGACGGGGGAGAGTAAGGAGAGGAAAGCCGGCAACCTGAGAAGCAGATTTCTGGTGGCTTAGTACGGGAAAAAAAAAGAAATGCCGGTGAGCCGTGAGGTTTGTTGAAGAGGCAGTGGACACAAGGGGAAGGAAATACACGGCATAACAAGGGTGTCAGTAGGCGAGGATGTGGTGTAGTGGGCAAGTACGGAAGGGGTTAAGGAAACATGGGCCAAGGTCGTAGTGGGCACAGAGAGGTTTTGTTTTTTTGGGGGGCGGGGGGGAAGGACAGGTGCAGCAAGCGTTACGTTCTTCCTACCTCCGGGTGGACCTGAAAGACAGAGCTCTAGGTAGGGAGAAAAGGAGAGAAAGCTGTGAGCCTCTAACAGATGGGCCAGCGTGAAGGTGACACAAGGTGCTTGCTGCTGTATGGATGAGGAGGGTCAGTGCTTTGCCTGTCACACCGACAGCAAAGGGCAGCAATGTGGATGTGTAGTAAAGCACTAGGGATTTGGAAAAGGTCAGAGAGTGTGTGTGTGACGCTTCCTTTATCTTCACTGTGGAAAAGTTCACATAGAGTAACCTGAGCATAAATTGTTCCTGTTTAAACCTCTTCAGACGCTTTGGCTTTGGGCAGTTTTTCTGTTTTCTGCATGTCACAAGAGACACACAAATCCATGTACAGCGTTTAGTGTCTCCTTTGTAGCAACATATATAATCTGAGCTTGTTATGGTTCTGTACATATGTGGGATTGACAGCTGCTCTATCCTACTACGAAAATAACTATAAGTTGTAGCCTAGCATTAGCCATTTTTAGCTGTTAACTTTTCAGTGTGCCCAATATTTTAGTTTAGAACTAAATACCCACACATTTATCAGCTTTACTTTGTGTTTTGTGCAAAATGTGCACGTTAACATGCTAAACTAAGACAGTGACCACAAAAAACATTACACCCAGCCAGGGCCGGCCCTGACCGATTTGGTGCCCTAGGCAAGATTGTAGTTTGCGCCCCTAGCATCACAGTGAATTTCACTCCTAATTTTCATACAGTAACACAAACTGTATGCATGTATTCAAGCTTTTAATTAAGTATAAACAACATACTAAATGAAACTGAAGAAACAAGTCTTTGCGACACTCCCAGGCTAACTGACGTGTATTCAGGCAAATATTTAACCGATGCGGGTCCTCTACCGTGGTCTTCAGACATTAGCGAAGACGGTTCGCTAACGTCTTAGCTGCTAACGTTAGCAGCTAACGTCTTTGCTGCTAACGTTAGCAGCTAAAACGCTAACGTAGCGTCTTTACTGCAAACGGTAGCAGCTAAGACGCTAACGTTTTCGCTGCTAACGTTAGCAGCTAAGACGCTAACGTAACATCTTTACTGCTAAAGGTAGAAAAACTGCATCGGCGCTTGTTAATAAATACTTGCCTGAATACATGTCAGTTAGCCTGGCAAGCTTGTGGCGCCCCCCGTGGATGTCGGCGCCCTTAGCATTTGCCTATACTGCCTATGCCTAGGCTCTGCACCCAGCTTTAAACCTCTGAGCATTTTAGCATGCTAGTATTAGCATGTAGCTAAAAATGTTGCAGTACTAAAAACAACATGGCTGGAGACTTGTTCTATAAACTCTAGAATTTATAGGCTTCTTCACATAATAAGAACGTTTCTGTAAGTTGAAAAGGATGACTACAATATTGAACCTCCCTTTACAAACCGTACAAAGAGCATCATTTTAAGGCAGGGGTGTCCAATCTTGGTCCTCGAGGGCCACAATCCTGCATGTTTTAGATGTTTCCCTCTTCCAACACACCTGATTCAAATGATCAGGATCGTTATCAGGCTTCTGCAGAGCTTGATGATGAGCTGATCATTTGAATCAGGTGTGTTGGAAGAGGGAAACATCTAAAACATGCAGGATTGTGACCCTCGAGGACCAGGATTGCCCACCCGTTTTAAGGCAACAGAAATTAGTACAGAATGTTTTTTATTCCGTAAGTTACTGAAAGCCCTAAGACTAAAAACACTGTAAAGCAAAAGTTTGCAATTTCAACTTCAGGTATTTAATAATAGAAAAGGGAGCAATAATGCTGGTGGTTTAATGAGTTTCCCAGTGTTTAGATGCAGAACTTAAATATCAGGGGACTTGTGTCACCATCTGTTTCCTTTGCAGTGTACGTCCTGATGAAGATTCAAGTCACAATGCATTTGTTTATCCATGTATTAATAAAGATTTTCTATATTTTTTATAAAATCAGAGCGCTTCACATACAAAAAAACAAAAGTAAATAATCACACTATTTATTAGAGCTATAAACTATTAAAACATGAAGTATCGACCAGAACTACTTTCCTAGAACTACTCATCTGTGATGTGCAATCAGGAAAGCTTCTTGAAAGTGTGGTGTTTCATCAAAATATTTTTTCTACGTCTCTTTAAAAAAAAAAAAAAAAAAAAAAAAAAAAGTGTGTACTGAAATGATTCTGAAAAACAACGTAATGTCTGAACTGGGCTGAACTGCAAACTAAAGACGAAAAACAAATAAAAAATCTAAGCAATAGCATATCTAGATTATGTGGAGTCATATTGTTTCCAGTATTGGTACAACTTGGAAAAAAAATAAAAA